TCTTCTCTTTATTCTTGAACTCTATTATGAACTTTCGAAATTTTCGAAATGTATCGCAATAATAAATTACACAAACGGTGGGATTATAACTCTCAAGAAACATGGATACTGTTGTAATGGTCTTTGGGGCCATACAATGGGAGACAGATCACTAAGACTGCCAAGCACTCTTTCCAACCTTTGGCCTTTTCCCATCAGGGTTTTGCCTGGTTGGTTTTAACGAGGCTATGCAGGACGAGGAGTAATGGATCCGATCATGTAACGGGAATGTTCCGTCTACGAAAAGGATTCGGATGTAGTGTCACCAACGAAGATGGAATCGCAATAAGTGATACCGACAGAGATAATGTGCCCCTGGGAGCTTCGTCCAAACGGGGCATAAAAGGGGATAACTCCCTGGCCCCTATCTGGGGGACAAGAATTAGTCTCTGTACAAGAATACTATATCGTTGACGCTCCTCCACTTACTCATTACCGATCCATCATCGTATCTTACCGGATTGACAGGCTGATCACCCCTGACCTGGTAATCTTCTTACAGTCGGGGTTATCAAATCCCGTAAGATTAAGGCTCTCCTCATTCTCTTTCGCTAACAAAGTTTCAAATCACTAAGTTCGCATTTATAGGGTAGATACCCCTTGATTTGAACGAGGATTTAATAATTCGTTGTGTTAATGAACGCCGACGAACATCGCCAATCATCCGGAAAAAGTCACGTTTATCGGACGCACTTCCACCCCACATAACTTCCTCATCATTCGTGCTTTTGAAGTGATGTTTAAGGGTTTGAAATGCCTGGCCATCGAGGGGTTGTACGAGGTGAGAAGTATGCGGAATAAAGTAACATGTCATAATGTTATTCACTTCACAATACTTCATGAACTCGTGTGTGCAATGTGAATGATGATCATCCATTAACAAAAGCCTCGGTCGATCCTTTTGAATTAGAGGCTTCGAGGCTCCATTGAATGAATTAAGCCATTCTAATGCCACGGTATCGTTAGTCCAGCCATACTCGGTAGGTCGGATCCGGAATTCATCAATATCAATTGATGTATACCATTCTTCTTGGTGTCGGGATCCCTTAACAAGGAACCACGGTAGCATTGACCAACCACTTGCCGATACACATTCAATGCAAGTAATTGATTCAGCTTGAACACCAGCAGGTGATTCCGCATTTAAACCTTTTGAAACAACTTTTCGACGCTTTCCCTGGCCGATAACAAAGCCAGTCTCATCCCAATCAAAGATCTCGTGCGGAAGAAATTGGTGCTTTTTCAGTAGTTCACCATAATGATAAAACCACTGAGTAATTTCACCAGAATGATCACTATCTATCCGCTGCTTTTCCTTAGGCTTTTGTGTAATATAGCGGAATTGAGAGGATAGCCGGCGAATAAATCGGTAGACCCAAGATTTGCCAACAGTCCGATCTTCACCCGAGCGTTGTAAAATGGAATTTGCAGTGCGTTCAATGAGTCCTGGATAGGGATCGGTATATGCATTGTGAAGGGCAATACTCCATTCAATGCCTTCTCCTGAATTGCATTCAATGCCCTATTTGGTTGCTGGGTGGAAGTTCTACTGCCGGCACCCTTAAATCGACCGTACAATGTATAGTATGGAACATTGAATTCACGGCTAATGGCGGAGAGGTTGGGTTTCGTTTCGGTATGACATTTAGCTAATGCATTAAGCATTGCTTCTTCACAAACTGGGGTGTTTTGAGGCATGTTTTAGTGTAGATATTTGTATTTGGAGATGGTAGTAATGGTAAAATTTCGTGTTAGGTGAATATTTTGTGTTGGGTGAAACAGACTAATGAGCGCAACCGCTCATTAGTAATGGTAAGACGGCCATACATGGTTTTTGTTTTTGTGTAGAGCAAATTCTGCCAACGATTTGTTTTACTCGAAGGCGAACACAGTAGGTGGTAGATTGTCATTGTGGGTAATTAGTTGATGGCTCGATGGTGTTGTGTAAAATTTCTGAATGTTGGTTTATATTATTTGCCCTTTTTGAATTCAGTCAGAAGTAAAGAAAATGGTTCTTTGCTCTGGACCTCAACTACATGTCAAACTAGTTAAAGTATGCAGGTGACAGTTGACTAAAAGAGACTTAGCCGCAGCAATCGGGCTGTCGGGTCGTATAATGTGACGAAGCTATCATTCTCCGGTCCTTGATGTCCCGTCTCATTTCTGGGAGTGGCGCCTCACTTCCGTCTCAGTTTCGCAGACGGGATTCTGAGGCCACGATCTCCTTTACCCATAACTCCGGTACTCATTGGTTGAGTATTATGATATTCTCAATAGCTAGCATCTGGTTGCTATGCCCTAGGTAAACAGATCATCGTGGAATGGAATTTTGTTGGACAATCGGAGCACTCATATCGGTGATTATCAATGACAATTAGCTGATTGACATTGTCTAAAACATGAGGCCTAAGTTTGACCAGTGTAACAAGGAGTTCTTTTCGATCAGCCTGCTATCATGCTAGAATCGTGATACCTACTGATTGACAATTGGTCCATCGAACGGCTGGACAAAGCATATTTATTAGATGTAGTACGAAAGCTTTTGCCACCATGCAGGGTCATGGAGGCACTCGAGGTGACACTGTATTATCATCTCATGAATGGGTATTAACTTCAATGTACTTTAATGATTAAAATATACGTATGCAAGATATACGTTCTATTTGTATTATTTGATAGGTCCGGAATGAAGGGTAGAAAAAGTTTGGCTAGAAGATGTGCGTGTCAATCTCCTTCGGTTTGTAATAGTCCCGTGAGGTGACACACTGCCATCCGGACACGTATACAGAACCAACCTTTTAGGTCCTTTACTTCCGGAAGATCTAGTTCTAATTTTCTCGGACCTTATCCTGAAGTTCTAGATATACGCCCTTGTCCAAATTCATTCAATCGTGTTTTGAATTCTGAGTATTGATAGGTTCCACGATTTTTCTCTTCTCTTCTTTGTGTTTAGATCAACAGATTGTTCCTTGTTGAACATCGCTCAATTCGAAAGAAACTCCTGCTCTAGCCGTTCAGCGGACGAATCCGATCTCCATGAAACCTCCAATCCAGTATCTCATGTATGAGTGGTAGCTACATGTCACACTACGAGATGTCAACTCGAGCCTCTTTGAAGTGGCTTCTTGCCGAAGTTTACCAATCCGATGACCATTTCTTGTTTTGAATCATGTGCATTGTCTTCTTTCTATCTCCACAGCCACCCATGTCATCCGGGACAAGGTCATACATTAATAGGAATCTGATAGTCCAGAATGTTATAAGTTTTGGTGGAAACCACGAGATTTATCTACATTATTGTTGTTCGGCTTTTCGAGTTTTGCCCTTGCGATATATTTGCTTCCACAGCAACCGAAAGCAAAAGAAAATTCTGACCTTGCTAGAAACATACCATGATGAGACAAAAGCAACTATTTCTGAGTTACATTCAGTAAAATGCTTTCGATTGGTGCACTATTAAACCCGCGGCATAATAATGGGAACATTGCCTTCTTCGGTCTCTCGCCAAACGGTTCAAAATCATCACGTTTACCTCGAGCACCCGAGAATGCAAGCCACTCACTATCCTCTCATCAACAGCAATGTTCAAATAAAGAGAGAGCCGAATCAAATACCAGTTGCTCAGTATTTCCGTACCTCGTTCGAAGTGACATTGCTCCCTCGGCGTATCATCATCATACACTCCCTACACTCAGTCAATCAATTCTTCCACTGTATCCAGAACAGCCGCAGGAGGACAAAATTATTGTGGATCAGCGTTATAGCGCAAATCGCGACAGGAAAGGACTTGGTTCCAATTCGAAATATGCCGAAGAGCATATGTACTTTCTGTGGTACCACTACGTTGACCTCCAAATGGATTGGGAAGAGATCCTCGCCATATTTTATCGTCAATTTCCCGGTATAAGGCGTTTGAATGTGGAAGTTATTCGACAAAAGCTCCGTCGATTCGTGAAAAAAAAGGGGCTCCATCTCCAAAGATACAACGCTCTATACAGGAGCTTGAGCAGACCGAGAGGTCTATAAAGTCCATTGATTTAAGTCAAACGGCAGAAACTCAGGAGTACTTCAGCCAGAGAAAGTCTGGTACTCGTGGATGGAAAAAGACACATTCCTAACTTAGGGAAATGTGAAACTCAGTTCTAAAGTGGTGTGGACATTAGCGCCAGAATATTTATAACAGCAAACTTGAACCACTGGTCGGATGCTATTGATCGGTCACTCTTCCCTTCTTTATATTGCAAGCATTTTGTATATTTCTCAATTCGGTGAGTATAGCTTCAGAGTGACACTAGTCCCAAACTGGCAATACACCGCTTATCGACGGAAAGAATCACAACTGCAGGAACAAATGTTGATCATGTAAAAAGGCATCAAAAGAGACTTGGTTTGTTGAGGTGAAAGTAAAGAGATCCATTCTCTTTGCTTCTACTGTAGAGACATACGTTGATTACTTACTGTATTTCAGATCATGTCTCGCGAGTGAGATCCGGTACACTGAGAGCATTTGTCAGGGATCGCAGTTGCTTGGGTTTTACAGTAGATTTCGAAAGCGGATTTCCCTGTGGACACTAACGCTGTGTTTCTCGGCCCGTATGTGTCTAATGAGTCAGCGTAAATTACAGTAGGTTTCCATAGAATTTGATACGACGTTCTGGGCAGGGTCCTAAATCCCCATGTGCAGGAAAGTGGATCTGGCGATCTAGCTTGGTAATACCGTGCATGACCTGCCTTTTCTTATCGCTGAAACGTGGTAGTATGATGTGTGAGGATATAAAAGCTAAATAATGACATAAAGTTATCTTCTGACGCTGTAAAGCAGAGTGAGGAAGCAAATGTCCACAAATCGACATAGTGCCGCAGAAACCTATTGCAACAAATCTTGACGGCCCGTCTTGAAGAAAAATAAAAGTTAAATATCAACGCGTTTCGTTAGTAAAAATCCACAGGTAGCATCATTATTATGCCATCTTCGCGGCTTCTTCCGTTTCAGCTGCGTTGGGGGGACCAGGGCCTTGGCAAAGCACACCGCTAGTGTGGACATCGTCGGAGTCCCTGTCGCTGATCTCGTGATTTTTGCTTAGACCAAGAGACGAGATTTGGGACAGAATATGGGCCTGCATGGCGTGAGTATAGGCTTTCATGGCACTCTGGATTGAAAGGTTGCTCGCGTTGGAGTTGAAGATGGAAAAGGGCATGGTGGGCTATAACACGATCGTTATGTTCCGTATTTTCGGTCGCTTCAGGAATCGATGTTGTCGTGATATGAGATGTCGCGGGTTTCACTGATGACTCTGGAATCAGCACGGTTCGCTGACCAGCGAAGCAGTGGCCACCAAGCTGAGAAAATATGAAATATCGTCTTACGAAGGAATTTTATCTCGTGGAGACAATAAATTAAGACTGTCTACAAAAGATGACATGCTAACAGTTCCGTGTGCTTACCTCCCATATAGAGAGGCCAGACTGAGGGACCCTGATCGTAGACAGAAGTAGTCTTACTTAAGAATAATGTTGACGTAGGCAAGGGTAGGCGTATGAAGATATGCTTCGTTGAAATCGTTGTAGAAGCAAGTAGGATAAAACAGTAAGAATGATGAAGATAGAGGTTGTTAGAGGACAACTCACCGAATGTAGGTAGAGGTTACCGTCCTGTCAATGTGTAAAGATAAAGTACTGCTTATTTACACGCTTGACTATACGTAAGAAATACACAACTAACTGACAGGAGTGTTTCGGCAAAATCTTTCAATCTAAACTAGTTTGTCTTGGCATTGGTATTAGGAATCAACTGATGAGTGTAGTTGGTGGCACCAGCTTCGGGACGTACTGTAGAAGCACAACTTCAACCATCCCATTCTTTAATAGTCAAGCCGGCGTGCCGAAAATGGCCTCTAGAATTAGCCTCTCTCGCCCCAACCTGATTAATACACCGCTCGAGGAAGGAGGTGAACTCTCGGTCTGGATCTTCTGCGTAGTAGCTCCAATTTCGTCTTATGAAGCCTATCAGTTCAACAAACAAATTCTTCAATTGGATTCAGGTCCGGCGAGTACAGTGATATTCGAAATCAATTTTAACGACAATCTTTCTCTGTTTACCACAGGCTCCACCTCGAATGCTCTAGTCCTTATTTGGAAGTCTTTCCGCCGCCTTGCGTTTGTCCATGTATCTTCAATGAGTCAGCGTACATTACAGTAAGTTCCCATCGGTTCCCACCCCCTCTGGTTTCTCTGGTTTTACAATCAATAAGATAAAAGAAACGTATAGCTGTATTGAATTTGGCTTCAAGATCTAAATTAAAAGGGTTTGAAGTTGTCATTGGGCTCGAAATGTCCTGTGCAGTACATATTTCAGTAAGTGAAATTCGATGAGTAGGAGAGCGGACAATAAAATACCTGATGCGCCAAACTCGACCTAGTGAGCTGTTTCTACTTATGGAAGATCTGGATGTCATCGCTTATGTCTGTCCCGTTAGTAACAGGACATGCAAGCCCGGAAAAAGGTTGACATCATGAACTTCTCTTAGGAGAGATATGGATATAGTACTTTGGGCCGATGAAGACCGGTGAATTCGATTCGAGATCCCATTTTATTTGCCGACCATAAGAGAGGAAGCGATAACACCGCCTACGGAACACAATTCAACATCTAGTTTCCAGTTAATCATTAGTGAGTAGCTTACAATAAGTACATAATAACCTAGCTACCATTCAAAAGGTGATTCAATTAACCCACTGGTTAGACATGCAGAAAGAAGTCGAGCTCCATCAACCGGAAGACCCCCCCAGATCTGAATGTCTGCGGTGCTGGTAGCAAAGAAGGAGTGACTTATGTCAGGTTCATGGCCACAATCGGGTCGCTGGTAGTCTCCGTATCGACGCTCTTTCTCATGGCATCCCCGCCTGATTAGAAACTGCTGTTTTTTAAACCGATCTTTGTCGGAAAAGTCTCCGAGGGCCAGGATCTGTAAATTTGGAAGACCAGTCGGTCCGAAGGCCTATTCGGCAAATGACACAAACTCGTCCGCTTCGGAAGAGGCCGAAAGGAGTTTTCCTGCACCGTCTGACTAGTTCATATCCCAGATGGCAGGCGAAGTTGAGTCATCATTTATGATACTTGCGAGATCGCTCCAGCTATTATGATGATAACCTTGCCCGATACTTTCGATCTTGTGATTCTGACATATATCCCTGGATTGCTTTGTCCGTAACCGAGCACTGATTTCATGTGGGATGTCTCTATGGAGCCTCTCCGACCCACTGAACCGAATATGCAATACCTTGATGGTGGAACCGGTGGCTAACGGCTCAAGAAATAGCCTCTGCGACGATTAGCAACAACTTATTCTCAACATAAATCTCATAACTTACCACGACAGGTGGAGTTGTACAAAGGGCTAGAGCGGTGAGACAAGATAGGTTCAGGATGTCCCATTGACCGGAAATCCATTGCGGTGACACATCCCGGTATTCTTCGAAAAGACCTTCATTATCAATAAGGCCAAGTTGACGTTCGTGGTAACAAAGGGTCTCAAGTGTAGATCGGTGGTATCTGACAACTGATTCAACTCGAGAGGGATCCTCAAAGTTCGACAACCTCAGAAACAGATGCCTTAGTCCTTTGAAAGCGACCAAGAAGTTTAAGACTGGAGTCAGATCTTCGCCAAAACCATCAAGCAAGTTGTCGCTCGAAAATTCGAAAAGCTCTAGTTGTGGCGTGCCTTTTGAGCGAGTCAAGGAAGTAAGGAAGTGAAGTTGATTCGGACATTCACGCAGAACCAAAGCTCTGAGCGGGCCATATATTAGTGCCGGACTCGGCCGGAAGTTTTGCGGAAAGGAAATTTTGGACAGTGCTAAGGATGAGAGCGAAGGAAGAGCGCTTGAATGGCATATCCTCGATTGCTGCCCAAAAATCTCTTCGCAAAGATCCGAGGCATCAGAACATCTGACAAATCCAATTGACAGATCTGTCAATTGTGCAGCATTTTGGCGGATGTATCGTCGTATAGAGTCGACTTCAGCAGATTGCTAAACACCTTCCCACTTTAACATTTTCAATGATAAGAACTCGGAGAGACCATCCAGGGCACCTCCTGCCTGAGGGCAAGTCCCATCCGTAATGAGCGAAATACTATTAAGGCTCTTCTGGTGCCGACAAAGGTATCCCTTTTTGTCCAAGATACCTGCTGGAAGGCAGGTGCCTAAACCCCACCTAATACAATTGAGTATTAAAAAGGCAAGAGAAGTAGCAGTTCCTGACCAAAAGACTTACTGGAATGAACGGAGGCTATTTTCTTTGAGACATGCGAAGACTGAATGCATTTGCTCCGCAACGTCATCCAGAAAATGGCGATGCGCCTTTACCTCATCGCAAGTGCCGAGGGTAGATGAGGCTTGTGTCAGCCCCGATGCGCGAAAGATACTATGACTTGCACAACGGCTAAACCGGGTAATACATATTGGGGCCTGTATATTAAGGTGTCTGGTATGCTGGAGGTAGCTAAGGCCTTGTGGACGCGCATGGTTCCAAAAGAATGAATCGATATCGAGTACATTTAGCGCCCACTCACTCGCAGCACGAAACGTGATAGTGCGATAGATCATGGGAACCAGAATGGAATTGACCCTCGAACAAACCTGACTGAAAGCACGCAGGTCGCCAGGCAGCAGCTAAGAAGTTGTGAGAAAAGGAGGAAAAATACACATTTGGTGACAAACCCAGTCCGCGATATCCAAAATTACTTCGCAGGGCATAATTTCAAGCATGCTGCCGAGAAGGCAGTGGTTTTCTAATGCATAAAAAGCCAAAAACTTTTTTCACTTGCCATGCCCAGGTTGGGACCTCTTCTATTTATTTTTGATATTAAACACGAGAAGAGTAACATACGTTTCTTTGAGTTTCACAAAACGTAGGGGATGCAGGGATAACCGCAGACCTAAACAGTGTTTAAATGAACACTGTGATAAATATTGAGCCAAGGTTAGCAAAATTAAAAGGTAGTTTCTTGTTTACCATTTAATCTAAGCTTTGTATCTGTAATCAGGTGTCGTCCTTGGTTACGTGGCAAGTCTCACACAATAGAAAATAACAATGATGAAGGCCCATTAGTCAAAGGCGTTCAAAGATTTACTCAATCAGATGAAAAACATGAGATTAACGTAGCTGAATACATTGGTATGTAATAGAACAATGAGTTTAGTTCTCACAAGCATCAGTTCCCTGGGGCTGCACCACTGGGGGATGCCTCAAGATTGTACTTCTCGCTGCTCAATTGACACAGCTAGAGTTCGGACGGAATTGAACTAAGTTATAGCTGGCAATATTAGTTCACCGGCCTGCAAAATACGAGGGGTGATCTAGGTTGCAAGAGAAGAGTGACGGCGCTTCGTTCTATATCGCTGGTCTCAAACCGATCCTTCATAGAGAAACCATTATAGTAAGCAAATAGATCCCGCTTTATAGTAATACTTACTACATACTCAGATCCAAGGATTCCTTTTAGATGAAAATTATGGAGGAGATCGCCGAAATTGTTCGTGAGATCGGTCGGCAGCAGACCGACAATTCATACTACCGTACCTGCTATGGACTTCTCAAGCAGTTGCAAGACTTGGTGGCCCAATCATCTGACTACCTGCGCTGTCTTCAACAATACGAAACACTATTTCCATCAAATGATTTCCTGCCCATCCACCATATTGCCACCGAATTGCAAAACTCAGTAGCAAAGCTGTCAAAGCAGGAAAAAAGGTCCCACTCAGCTTGGCAAAACCTCCGATCTACTACTTGAGTCAGCCGACAACTAAGAATTGAAGGAATATATCTTCCGAGTACTTGCGTATCCACAAGCCATTTCCAAGTCATATCGGGAATTTTGCGAATTGCATGGATTCATATTTACGATCTAACCAGATCCACTAATCCACTTTGAGCTGAATTTGCCCATCTCTTCCTGCCTTATCCCTTTCTCAGATTAGAGATTCAGATAGAAAGAGAAACATAGTGGTTTCCATTTACCTATTCAGACTGCATGCATATTGTCACCGAGATACAGTCACTAGCGAAATCTGCTTCCTCCCTAACATTTGCTTTCCTTTTCTCGGGACCCACTGCCAAGGCACTAGCGCAAATATTTATTCAACGGGCATCAATATAAAATCCTTCCTGAATGTAGTGGGCTGTAATTTACAGCAAAATTACCATTTCAAATGTACTCAACATTTGGAGGCATGGTTTTTGGTTAGGATATGCTCATGTGATACTTTAAGGATCAGATGGTTTTCATTGGATGCCCGAGGCACCGAGTATATAATAGTAAATTACATAATAATGCCAAGGCATCGCTTAGTGAGAAACCCAGTTTTACATGTAGCAAGTAGTGCCTAAGGCATCAGAATGCCTTAGGCCCACTTCCGCTCTCAGGTTCTGCTGACACAGCAGAACCTGGAAACCTTAGGGGATCACACTCAGCATTGGATAATGCACGTGATCAGTGTCTTGCATCGCGGTTGGCTATGGAAGATCCATCGATAGTTGTTGCCTCAAATTACTGCTTTATGAATAATTATCCGTTAAACCGCATCAAGTTATAAATGTCAGATTATAATCCATTATTTCCCCTGCATCTAATTCTAATTCGAAGAGTTTTTTAATTCCCGCTATATTGTGGAAACTTGACTTAGGCCAAGACGGAGAATTGTGACGGCCCTCATGATTCGAAGGTTATGATGTTTTCCCTAATCCCGGAATAGTGACTCCTTGTCCCCAAAGAATAACATAGAATATTCTGTAGGTTGATAGACCGGATTATGGTATTTCCATGCCGTCAGACAACACGCGACCTAGTGAGGCAGGTAGGTCAAGGCAGGGTTGATTCACTATTGGTGACCCTTCCGGTAGAAGTGGGTCCACGAAACTTGGCCTTGAGGTTTCGGTGCGGCGCGCCCCGTTGCCAATTCAGCAGAACAGACTTCCCCAGGAATGAGACTTCATGAAAGGTTACACTGGTCAGATATCTCTGCCTAAAGCCGTCAATTACATCACACAATAAATTGGGCAAGATGAGTGCATTCCAAAGGTGGTCTTGGCATTTCTTGGTTTCGATAGGATGGTGAAGACGGCTCCTGCCAATAGCGTCTCTTCTCTAACCGCCCGCTGCAGCACGTCGTGTTCATCATGAGGCTGAGCCTCTCGGGTTGGCAAAATTTTCGCTGGGTCTTAGAGGGCTTCTTTCCTTCTCTCAAGCCTCCTCCGCTCTCCTTTGCTCATAGTAGCATATGTTACCTCCATGAGTTAGGCCTATATTGCACACTAGAAGTCAGAGCTTTAGAAAGGTCACGCGGGTAACTCATTGTCCGGCTTTTTCTCGCGTTGAAGCCATGTCAGATCCTGCGGGGTACACTGTGGGTTGGATTTGCGCCTTGCCCGTGGAATACACTGCCGCACAAGGGTTTCTCGATGAAGAGCACGACAAACCGAGCTTTGTGTCGCCAAACGATGCCAACGACTATACGTTAGGCAAAATGGGCGAACACAACGTTGTCATCGCTGTCTTACCCGATGGTGAATATAGAACAGCTTCCGCGGCTAGTGTAGCGACAAATATGCTCAACAGTTTTCACAACATCAGGATCGGCCTCATGGTCGGAATTGGCGGGGGTGTACCAAGCAAGAGCCATGATATTCGCTTGGGCGATGTTGTGGTCAGTGCGCCTCGCGGTGGCGAGAGTGGTGTGTTTCAATACGATTTTGGCAAGTCGATCCAGGACCAAAGTTTTCAGCATACGCGGTTCTTGAATCAGCCACCAGCTATATTGCGCGCTGCAATGGCGGGTATTCGAACACAATACGAGAGAAAAGGGCATCAGCTCGAGGAGGCTATCAACGGCATGTTTGGAAAGAACATGAGACTACGTCGGAAGTACACCCAGCCAGAACTAATTACCGATAGGCTGTTTCTTCCCGAAGTTATCCATCACCCAGCAGGCTGTGCTAAATGTGCAGTTGATCCGTCAACGTTGGTACTACGGAGTGAGCGGGCCGACGACGAAGATAACCCTGCCATTCACTATGGCCTGATTGCTTCTGGCAATCAGTTGATGAAGGATGCTCTAATTCGAGATCGGCTTGCCGCGGAAAAAGACGTTCTTTGTTTCGAAATGGAAGCCGCGGGGCTGATGAATACTTTCCCATGTCTCGTCATCCGGGGTATCTGCGATTACTCGGACTCACATAAGAACAAAGAGTGGCAAGGGTACGCAGCTATAGTGGCAGCTGCATATGCCAAAGACCTTCTACAAAGGATCCCTCTCAATAGAATTGAAGCCGAGGAGAGGATAAGTGCTGTTGTGTCTGGTTAGTCTTGCGCAGTCTTATAATTATTACATCAGCAAATATTGACCTAGGCACTACTTAGAGGAGCTGAAAGGCATCCAACATCGCTTAGATCAAGCATACACTCAAAACGAACGGCACTTTAGTGAACAGAAAGCAAGAGTCCTAACAGATCAACAGCGCCGTTGTTACCAAGTGTTCAAGGTCGTCAACTACGCGGAGCAAAAGAACATAAACCCTGAACGAGCTGAGGGAACCTGTCGATGGGCTCTCCAGAGCTCTGAATACATCCGTTGGTGGGAGAGCAACTGCAACGATCTTCTCTGGGTGTCGGCTGACCCAGGCTGTGGCAAGTCTGTCCTAGCCAGGTCAATAATCGATGATTGCTTAGACAGCTCTCATCCATCTGTGAAAATATGTTACTTTTTTTTTAAAGACAATGATAAACAGAACGATCTTACTACGGCACTATGTTCGGTACTTCATCAGCTATTCAGCCAGCAACCTCATCTATTACAACATGCCATTCCGGCTTGGGAAAAGAATGGGGGGACCCTTCGACAAGAAGTTGATGAGCTTTGGCGGATCTTAATAGCGGCAACAGCAGCTGACATCTCGTGCAAGACAATTTGCGTATTCGATGCACTTGATGAATGTCGTGAAACCGATCAGCGCCGGTTAATCGAAAAGCTTCAAGCGTTTCATCGCCAGCCATCTTCATCAACAGATGAAACCTGTTTGAAATTCCTGGTCACCAGTCGTCCCTACGATCATATACAGGATCACTTTCGAGCAATCACCGATTCTTTCCCACATGTACACATCAAGGGAGAGGAGCAGAATGACCAAATCCGTAAGGAGATTGAACTGGTGCTGAGGATTCGAGCAAGAGAGCTAGCTAAAACGGTGCCGCTGTCACCAGAGCTTCATCATCGAGTTGAACAGCAGCTGCTTCAAATGGAACACCGTACATATCTTTGGCTACACCTAGCCATTGATGATATCCGTACTACCTTCAAAGACAGCCTCCGGCCTGCAGAGCATTCGATCACACTGATACCGCTTTCTGTGAATGCAGCATACGAAAAGATACTTAGTCGAGTCCAGGCGGATGAAATGGATACAGTCAAAATGATCTTGGAGATCATTGTGGTGGCACGACGTCCCCTCACTGTACGAGAGATGGCTGTCGCTCTAGGTATTGCCACTTACTCAGAGGCACGAACAATACTGGGGGCTAGGCTAGATCCAACTCATTTAGAGAGAAAAATTCGACAATTATGCGGCTTATTTGTCTTTACCAACAACTCCAAGCTCTATCTTATCCATCAATCTGCCAGAGACTTTCTTATTCAAAAGAAAGATTCCAGCAATCCCAAATGTGCATACTGGAACAGTCTGACTGACGCGGAAGATCAGATGGCTAAGATCTGTTTGCAATACTTGTTGATAGAGGATTCAGAATACGATGAAGGTGAATTGGGCTCCTTTAGTGGAAGTTTCTTGGAATATTCAGCAGTATATTGGCCCGATCACGTACGAAACATGCCTTTGACTTCAATGCGAAAAGAAACCGACCGAGTGCATCGATTATACGACATGAGTGGGAAACCTTTCTCAAGGTGGTTTCCCATTTTTTGGAGGACAATCAGACCATACGAAAGAGCTCCTGTAATGAGTGCCCTGCATCTGGCGGCATTCAATGGCCATGAACAGGAGGTATATTCTATACTTGGTGTAAATGAAAATGACGTCAATGCACCTGATGATACAGCAACATATCCAGTCATGTGGGCTTCAATTAATGGACATGATAGGGTTGTGCAACTTTTGTTAGAGCGAGGAGCCGATGTCAACGCCCAAGGTGGAGAGTACGGAAATGCCCTCCAAGCTGCTTGTGACAGAGGACACGTCAAGATCGCACAGATGCTGCTAGAGCGAGGAGCCGATGTCAACGCCCAGGGTGGTGAGTACGGAAATGCCCTCCAAGCTGCTTGTGACAGAGGACACGTCAAGATCGCACAGATGCTGCTAGAGCGAGGAGCCGATGTCAACGCCCAGGGTGGTGAGTACGGAAATGCCCTCCAGGCTGCTTGTGACACAGGACACAACAAGATCGCACAGATGCTGCTAGAGCGAGGAGCCGATGTCAACGCCCAGGGTGAACGCTACGGAAATGCCCTCCAGGCTGTTTGTGACAGAGGACACGACAAGATCGCACAGATGCTGCTAGAGCGAGGAGTCAATGTCAACGCCCAGGGTGGACGCTACGGTAATGCCCTCCAGGCTGCTTGTAACAGAGGACACGTCAAGATCGCACAGATGCTGCTAGAGCGAGGAGCCGATGTCAACGCCCAGGGTGGACGCTACGGTAATGCCCTCCAGGCTGCTTGTAACACAGGACACGACAAGATCGCACAGATGCTGCTAGAGCGAGGAGCCGATGTCAACGCCCAGGGTGGACGCTACGGAAATGCCCTTCAGGCTGCTTGTAACACAGGACACGACAAGATCGCACAGATGCTGTTAGAGCGAGGAGCCGATGTCAACGCCCAGGGTGGACGCTACGGAAATGCCCTCCAGGTTGCTTGCTTTGGAGGATACGTCAAGATTGCGCAGATGCTGCTTCAGCACGGAGCCGATGTCAACTTGACGGCTGGTAGCGTCTCTGCCCTTTCCTTGACTACCCAATGCCGGAATGGCGATCTTCTGGAATTGCTTCTTGCCTCCGGAGCAAATGTTGAAAAAGCACTACAAATGCTGGATTCAATAGATGACCGATTTTACCTGAAACAAAATGCGCTGGATTATGCTGCTGCAGCAGGAAATCAGGATATGGTGAAGATTCTGATCTTAGCAGGAGCCGACGTTAATTATGCGTCGAAATCAGATCTTAGGGTGCCTTTGCACATGGCAGCTGAATCAGGTCAAATTGACGTGGTTACGGCATTACTTGATGCAAACGCAGACCCCACGAAGGAAGACAGCTTGTCTAGGACTGTTCTGTATTATGCTAGCCTTGCTGGTTCAACCTCAATTGCTCAGATCCTCGAAAGTGCAATCGGTCACTACAACAAAGGATTCAAACTTGGACTGTGTTACAGGGCTAACACTGGAGGACTTTCAGTGCACAAGGTCCAAATAACTAAGAGAATAAGCGACTATATTCTATTATCTGACATTCTTCACGCATACAAACAAAGGCGATGTCAAGGATTGCGCCGATATTCTCTGAAGGGCCTACAAGGTGTAAAGCCCGTCAAGGTGAAATAAGAAATCCAGTCTAACATTCAAGAAGCGAATCTCTAACACTTAGTAGTATGAACTTATCTACTCAGATCCTGACCAACCAGCTATCACTGAAGATTACATGCCTCTGTCAAAGCTACTCGCGACATGTGCTGGCCAATCGCATCTCTGCTCCATCATTATGAATCCTCCGGAACGGAGCAAGGGTCAAAGAATATGGGTGGAGGTTCTTATACAAGAACTCTCCGAGGAGGATGGCTTTGGCCTTCTTTGTCTTGAGAGCTGGGTTATCAAAAGAATCACAGTGCTTGCTGTAGCTTGTGCTGTGGGCGCTGGGTTAATTGGAATTCTGTGGGCTACGATTTTAGATAAAACCTCCGATGGATTCGCCATCACAGGATGTCTAATTGCTGCTGAGGCCCTAGCCATCAGTCTCATGCTTTTTGAGGCTCAACTTCGACCAGCCAACTAAAATATTCAGTCTAGAACTATGGGGGTACGAATGAAAAACTTCTGTCCGAGATCGTTACCTGTGCAGAACAACCTAGATGACGGGGAGACAGCCAACACAACTGTTTGCGTCACTGCGCATCGTGTACAGTCACCAGCGAAATCCAATTCTTCATCGATGACTGCTTTTCGAGTGAATAATTCTTACAGTATTGGATGTGATATTACCGCGAGAGGTACAGTATCTTACACGGCATATTGGTAACGGCCCTCAACTTTAGAATGGTTAGATCAATGATCTACGCTAAGGTCTTGGCAGCGGGTCCCAAGAAACGAAAAGCAGTCTTTAAGAGGAAGCTGTTTTCGCTAGTGACTGTATCGCGAAACGGTACCATTTTTTTTGACTCCACAGTGAGTGACTGTATCTTCCACAAGAGGGATCTTCCACAGGGTGACACCGATTTCCGGAAATACTGTACCCATATATGAACTGGGGAAGACATAAGGGACTGTATCTCGGTGAGACTGTACCCATATAGAACCCGCGATATTGAACTGTACTCCACAGTAAGGTATCACGGATAGGTATCAATCTACAAGGGCGAGTAGACCGAGGAGCGACTGCCCAGTGATAGCCTTTTTGTGCCACGTGGCGAAAATACCGACCTCCCGTATCGAGTGAGTAATGACGGGACGGGCCGCGATGCGAACCCCTGAACCGCCCGACCGCGATGAACGCGAGGATTCGCCACCGCGACTGTCGAGACCGAAGCGCACCACCAAACCACCGAAAAACTATGCTCGAGAGCAAGAGATCGACAACGAGCAGAGGAAGACGCGACCGCTACCAAAGAAGAGAATCGAACCCGAAGACCAGCCTGACGTGGGAACTTCGGACGACTCCGCGACCGAGGGCGACGACCTCGATGTCAGCAATCTGGTGCAAGAGATCGCCAAACTCAGGAGGGAGATCAGACTCCGCGATGAGATACATAAGGAAGAATTACTAAAAGCCCAAGCAGAGTTTAGTGCGGCTCTCGCCGAGGTCCGACACGAGCTACAGAACCTGACTGATAGACCCTTGACACCGCAATGCCACTCCGAGGCATGCTCTCAGAACAACCATGATGCGATTCTCCGCGAGATTCAATCCTTACGCGAAGAAATCGGCGTCCCCGCTCCCACGAGTTCCCCATCCTATACAGATGTCGCGCGCACTCCTCCAACCAGCTACCCAAGCAATATACGGACACTGTTAACGCTAGGCACGACACCGACCACCTTTACCGAAACTTTGTACTGTACGATAGACACCTCGAAGATGACCGAAAATGAAAATAAGAAGATATCCGCGGGCTCAATCAGGGCCGCAATCGAGAAAGAGATCCGAACGATGGATAATCACACCCACTGGCGCTGCCGCGCGGTCACCGTGAGTCTAAGAGACCCTAATCGGATCAGGATTGCGTGTCGTGATAAAGCCGAGCACCAGCTGGTCAAGAAAGTGGCGGAAGAAAAGATCGGAACAGGATCCCGGGTGCTCCGGGACGAGCTCTACCCGATCAAGGTCGACGGCGTTAAGAGGGCTGCGGTGCTAGATGACAACCATGCCATTCTGGCTGGAGCAACCGTAGCACTAAGTGAAGAAAACGAAAGTACAGTCGCTAAGATGACGTGGCTTAGCAGTAAGGAAGCCGCGAAGCCATATAGCTCGATGGTCGTGTACCTCACTAAAGGCTCCGACGCGCGGAGGCTCCTGGCCGACGGATACTTCCACGTTGGAGGGGAATCCGGGACAACCAGCGTCTTTGAATATCGGCCACGACCGATGCAATGTTATAACTGCCAGGAGATTGGTCACAAGGCATTCTAATGCCGTAAGACCCAGAAGTGCGTAAAGTGCGCCTCGGAGGGTCATCACCATAGTCGCTGCGATCAAGAGGTTCCAAAGTGTGTTCTATGCGGTGGGCCACATAAGTCGTTTAGCAAGAATTGCCGGAAGCTCTACCCACCACGTCATGAATAAGACACTTCGAATAATCCAATTAAATGTGAGGAAGCAGGGTGCCGTGTATGAAAGCTTAATGAATAACGGACAAACCAAGGACGTAGTGGCGTTAGCGATTCAGGAACCCTAGGCGAGGAGGATTCAGGGACGACTCTTGACCACCCCAATAGGATATCACAAATGGACGAAGATGGTACCCTCCACCTAGAGGGAAGGCAGATAGGCGATCCGGAGCATACTTTAGGTCAACAAAGATGTAGAAGCGGAGCAAGTGGCCATTAAGTCCCCGGATCTGACGGTAGCGGTCATCCGACTACCCGAACGGCTGATCTTTATAGCATCGGTCTACGTCGAAGGGGGAGACGCCACGGTGCTAGACGACGCATGCGATCACCTCAGAAAGGCAATCTCAAAGGTACGGCGAGACACGGGCGCCGTGGTGGACATCATGATTATAGGAGACTTCAACCGCCATGACCAACTCTAGGGCGGAGACGAGGTGTCCTTAGGAAGACAAGGCGAAGCGGATCCAATCATTGGCCTCATAAGTGAATTTGCTCTTAGTAGCTTGCTCAAACGAGGCACGAAAACATGGCATAGCGAAGGACAGTATGGGGACTACGAGTCCACAATTGACCTCGTCCTGGCCTCCGACAATTTGGCAGACCTAATGACCAAATGTGTAATACACGGGACTAAGCACGGCTCGGATCACCGGACGATTGAGACGGTGTTCGATGCACCGTGGTCAGCCCCGAAGCATCAGGAACGACTTCTTCTAAAGAACGCGCCATAGAAAGAGATTAATGCTAGAATCGCGAGCACCCTGGCCACCACTCCGTTGGAAGGCACAGTGCAGCAGAAAACCGACCGACTGATGTCCGCAGTCTCGGATGCAGTGTATACTTTAACTCCAAGAGCGAAACCATCGCCACACGCGAAGCGGTGGTGGACAACCGACCTGACACAACTCCGTTACATATACACACACTAGCGCAATCGCGCTCGCTCGGAGCGACGGGCGGGGCGAAAAATACCTCAGCTCGAAAAGATAGCCCAGGATGCGGCAAAACAATACCATGACGCCATCCGCAGGCAAAAGAAGAAGCACTAGAATGAGTTTCTCGCAGACAACGACAATATCTAGAAAGCCGCTAAGTACCTGGAATCGGGAGAAGACGCGGCATTCGGGAAGCTACCACAACTCGTCAGAGCAGATAGGACTACCACCGCTGACTATAAGGAGCAAGCAGAAGAGCTGTTGTCCAAATTCTTTCCCCCTCTACCGGACGTGATTGAAGACGAAGGGACGAGACCATAGAGAGAGCTAGTGAGGATGCCTACGGTTGGCATAGAAGAGATCGAAAGACAGCTTTTTGCTGCTAAATCATAGAAGGCACCGGGTGAAGACGGTCTACCGGCGATAGTCTGGAAGATGACATAGCCGACTGTCAAGCACAGGGTTCTCGATTTATTCTAGGCGTCACTAGGAGAAGGCGCGTTACCGACGTAATAGAGACACGCGAAGATCATACCGCTTAAGAAGCCGAATAAAGAAAATTACACCATTACAAAGGCATAGAGGCCAATCTCGCTCCTCGCGACGCTAGGTAAGATACTAGAATCGGTGGTTGCGGAAAGGATCTCGCACGCTATAGAGACACACGGCTTGCTCCCGACCAGCCACTTCGGCGCCCGAAAGCAGCGATCCGCGGAGCAGGCGCTTGTGCTATTACAAGAGCAGATCTACACCGCGTGGCGTGGCCGACGGGTGTTGAGTCTGATCAGTTTCGATGTGAAGGGTGCCTACAACGGAGTGTGCAAAGAACGACTGCTCCAGAGGATAAAAGCGCGAGGCATACCAGATGACTTGCTCCGGTGGGTCGAGGCATTCTGCTCAGAGCGAACGGCCACTATCCAGATCAACGGGCAGCTTTCTGAGGCCCGAAGATTGCCCTAAGCTAGCCTGCCTTAGGGCTCACCCCTATCTCCGATCCTATTCCTTTTCTTCAACGCAGACCTCGTGCAAAGACAGATCGACAGCCAAGGAGGAGCGGTCGCTTTTATGGATGATTTTACCGCATAGGTGACCGGGCTAACCGCGCAGAGTAACCGGCAAGGAATCGAGGCAATTATCAATAAGGCGCTCGATTAGGAAAGGAGAAGTGGAGCAACTTTTAAGGCGGAAAAGACAGCTATCATACACTTTGCTCCCAAGATGCGTAAATCGGACCATAAGTCGTTTATTATCAAGGGACAGACGGTTGTACCCAAAAGCCACGTCAAGATCCTGGGTGTCTTGATGGACACGAGACTGAAATACAAGGAATATATAGCGAGGGCCGCGTCTAAGGGCCTAGAGGCAGCGATAGAGCTTCGGCGACTTCGCGGCCTTTCCCCAGCAACGGCGCGGCAGTTATATACATCAACGGTGGCGCTAGTTGTGGACTACGCCTCTAATGTCTAGATGCACGCGTGTAAGGACAAAGCCACGGGGCCGATCAATCGAGTCTAAAGAGTTAGAGCACAAGCTATTATGGGGACATTCCTCACGGTCGCGACCAGCGTAGCGGAGGCGGAGGCCCACATTGCCACCGCGCGGAACCGATTCTAGAGACGGGCCGTGAAGATGTAGACGGACATGCATACCCTTCCTGAAACAAACCCGCTCCGCAGAGGTATAGACCGGATTAGAAAGTTCAGACGATATCATCGCTCGCCGCTGTACCAAGTGGCAGATGCGCTTAGGCACGTTGATATGGAGAGACTAGAAACAATTGACCCGTTCACGTTGGCCCCTTAGGACGAACGCATACAGGCTAATATTGACGGACAATATGAACCTCAGACTGAAGCGGGCGGGTTGATACAGATCGCGGTCAGCAGCTCGGCACGGAACGAGCTAGTGGGATTTAGAGTCGCGATCGAGAAACAGCCACCTCGAAATCGAAAGTTGAAGCTCAAAATGTTTTCTATCACATTAGGCGCGAGGGCAGAGCAGAACCCGTTCTCTACGGAGCTAGCAGCCATAGCACATGTGTTGAAAATGATAGTGGGAATCAAGGACTACAGGATTACGTTGCTCACAAGCAACAAAGCGGCGGTGCTCACGCTAAGGAACCCCCGACGACCGTCTGGCCAGGAGTTTGTTTGTCAGATGTACAAGCTGATAAGAAGGTCGCGGAGGAATGGAAATCGCATCATATTCCACTAGATCCCTACTACCGATGACAACAAGCTGTTAGGTCTGGCTAAAGAACAGGCCAGAACTGCAACACAAGAAGATGCTCTCCCATAAGAACACATCTCGAGGATAAAGTCCACAGTATTAAACATCGCACGGTCCCAAGCAGTCCCCAGCAGTGAGCTACCAGTGAACATAGGAAGACACGCAAAACGAGTAGATGCCGCACTGCCAGGCAAACACACCCGGCAGCTATATGATCGCCTAACGTGGAAAGAAGCGAGCGTACTGGCCCAACTCCGAACCGGCATAGCTAGGCTCAATGGGTATCTCAATCAGATCAATATAGCAGAGACGGATCAATGCGATTGCGGACAAGCAAGAGAGACCGTAGAGCACTTCCTCTTCCGATGTCGGAAGTGGACTGTACATCGGACGGAACTGTTACAATGCACGCAGACTCACCGAGGAAACATATCCTTCTTCCTAGGCGGAAAACAGCCTTCTGATAATCAACAGTGGACGCCAAACCTAGAGGCAGTACAGGCCTCCATACGTTTCGCCATTGCGACGGGCCGACTCGAGGCCACTTGAACATATCGACCAACATAACCCCCACCCCTTCTTCCGACCCTACTTACCCACCACCTCGTGCTACACATGGTAGACGCGCTTCAACTGCCGAAGATAGGATGTTGAACACTTGGAGAAGCACCTTCAAGCCAGCCTACTAACCCACTTACTAACCCACGAGAAACTCGCTGCGATACTGCTTTCTGGAAATGTTATATGTTATAAGGTTCTATGTATGGGCTTTCAGGAGACACAGCATACACAGATGGACATGTACAGTAGATCAGTGATAGTTGCCCTTTCGGCTCAGCCGCCGGGCGTTAATGAATTGTTTGTTTGTATCGCGAAACCTTTACGTCTGTTTGTTAGAATTGGGCAAATCAAAGAAAGAACAGATTTTTATACGACTTGTAGATACGCTTCTTGATGATGACGAAGCGGAAATTTTCATTTCTCGAGTGTACGATCCAATAGAATCGACACGCAGGTGTGATTTGGCAGATCATACCAGCTACCAGAGAGCACTATAAAAAATTCCAGAGGTGAGTGCCCGGCATGAAAGACCTCCAGACAGAATGGAGGAGGATGATCAAACTTGGCCGCATTGCGTCAATATCTAGTCATATCACGGTGGCGTCAACGAAGATACGAAGAGCTCATGTAGTGATTGAAGCAATGGAGCTCTTCCGCTGATATTAAGCGGTGAGGGAATATTCACACAGGCCAAAGTCTTCTATGAGTATTCGAAGAACTGTTTCTGGGAAGGGCAAGGCGTAAGAGCTTGGTAGGGGTATAAAAGCCAGCCATCATTACGTACCGCCTAGAAGACTTTTTATTCAGAAGCATATAAAATAGTTCTGTAACAAAGCGTTCGCATGTCGAGAAGGAACCTTTGTGTACCGGATGAAACACTGGCGAAGAGCTCGCGACCCTCAACAGCGAGCAGACTCTAAAGTTGCTATGATCACACAAAGGAAGAAACAATCAAAAATGAGGTTTGACCCCACACGCATCTTCCCTCTTAATATAAAATGATTGTTGTGCACTTCAGTGGATCTGTTGCTTGAGTATGCTATATCGCCTTTGAGTGGATATAAAGCTATTTGTTGGAACTAATTTTCCGGATGTCTACGCACCAAAGAAAATACATATGGGATTGTGGGCCAGATGCTACGATTGTGCCTCACTCTTGGCACTTTGAAAAATTGCCCAGCTTTGGAATGCGACTGTTAATTGTTGCACCTCCCAAAGACTTGGCTTCTATCGGTGGCATTAGTACATCTCGCAGTGTTCGTAGACCTCTGGCGTTTCCGGAGAGGGTAACGACGCAGAGAGATATGGATGCCAAGTTCTGGGATATGTAAAGGGAGCCTCAAAGGTAGTAGCGTATAAGACTTCGAATTACTAGCCTTTGTCCCTTCCAGCATCAGTTTAAATTTTGAATAACGCTGTTTGATTTGGCTTCAATTCCCAAATATCATTGTTGACGAAGGAAACTGCGAGACATCAGCACTTAAAGCAATTATTCCTAACGTTTTATGTTCTACTCACAGCCTGTGCGAAGATTGCGCACAACACCAATGCAATTTGAAATGTGATCATAATAACAGCTTTAAGAGCCTCTCTGATAGTGGCATCTTCTGAAGGGCCTTTTCAGTCTTAAGATATCTCAATCCAGACGGGTACAGTAGATTTCGAAAACGGATTCCCCCATGGAACTCTCGCGTTGTTTCTCGGCCCGTACCCTAAACTACCCTAATCCGTATTGGGTTACTTTAGAAAACAACCCCTGCTTCGCCGTATCTTAGTAAAAAACGTATCAGGCTTTCGTGTCTAATGAGTCATTGTAAATTACCGTATACCCTCATGGAATGTTCTGGGAAGAAAATCTCAATAGGCGGGGAGATATGGCGATGGATGATTGGATATAGCACACCGCTTTGGGCACTCCTAGCCGCCCGCACAAAATAACTCTACTCCGTACAGTAGCCCCCAGAACATTGAGTGAGTTTAGAACTGATTACTGCGGTCCAACGAAACTCGCCTCGGCCCTCATGTCCTAAGAATACCAATTTGCTCCAGTAGTTGATTTGGACGCTACCCTACCAATAATGGTTTTTGAGCGCTTTACTGACACCGTTCTTGTTTGATTAAGCGCTCACCCAAGGCATAATCGGCACGAAATGGGCAGTTCCGTTGACCAACGCTAAACATATAATGTTGCTAATTGTGACTGAGCACTCACCTCCACCCCTCCAGGGTGTAGGTGAGCCCACACCTGTTAACAAACCCACACCTATTAACAAAAATATCATTATTTCTATTTCAAACCTATTTTTCACCACCAAAACTATGCCGATTTCCTCCGAAAAAGAAGAGATCCTTCTCTCAAATGCCCTCGAAGCCTATAAATCAGGTCAATTTACCAGTATTCAGGCCGCAGCCTCTCATTTTGGCGTCTCGAAGTGGAAGCTTCGGTACCGAAAGGAAGGCAGGACAAATGGAAAAGGCCGTGCAGCCACTAAAAAAGCCCTAAATTCCTCACAAGAAGCCTCTCTTATTCGCTGGATTGAGCACCTTAATTCAGTATATACACCACCAAATGCTAGTGATATTGAGGGTGCTGCAAATCGTATTTTACGACATTGTGGTTCCGACCGGCAGGTTGGCAAAATGTATGGGTATCAATTCATTCGACGCCTACCACCCCATATCGACCTTCGTACACAAAAGCCGATGGAAAAAGCGAGGATTGAAGCTGAATTACACGGTGAATTAGTTCATTGGTATGAGGTCTATGGCCAATTCCTTAAAAAGAACAAAATTCAGGCCAACGAACTATATAATTGGGATGAGACTGGCTTTCAGCTAGGTATTGGAACGAAGGAAAACGTCGCTCCTACCCGCAAATATGAGACTATTGCGACTGGTGGAATAGGCCAGAATATTACTGGAATTGAGTGTATTTCGGCCGATGGCTGGGTTATGCATCCTTGGTTTTTAATGCGTGGTTCTGAACAAATGGAAGACTGGTTTGACGGCGATGATGATCCTACCAACTATAGGGTTATTAAACCAACTGCTAAAGGCTGGACCGACGATACAACTGCGATTCAATGGCTGTTAGATTTCCATTATGCCACTAAAAAGCGAGTTGCTAAAGGCAGACCTAGGGTTTTGGTTATGGATTACCATGGATCCCATGGAACCCCGGAATTTGAGCATATCTGCCAAAGCTTTAATATCATACCTTGGTGGTTTATACCAAAAATGACACATCGATGCCAGCCTCTCGATGGCAAGCCATTCTCAGTTCTTAAACAAAAATTCCGAAGAAAGAATAATGAGATTGTACGATGGGGTGGAGATGTTGATGATAAACGGCATTTTCTTCAAATCATCAAAACAGTTCGCAAAGACACATTTAAATCGCAAACGATTAAATCATCATTTAAAGACACCGGTCTTTGGCCTTATGATTTGCATATTGTGTGCGATCAAATTGATCCAGGCTGGGAAGATGAACCAGTCCTTGAAATATATGGTCATACGCCATCACCAAACCGTGAATTTCCTAGTTCAGCAACGAATTCGCCGCCTAACTCAGATCAAAGATTCTCTAAAGTTGAAGATAAGATTCAAACTATATTCGAAGACGATGAATTGGACCTTCCGAAGCTTCAAAAACATATAAACCGTGCAATTCATGGCGGCAATCAGGCTGTTCAAGACCTAGCCCTTGCAAAACAGACGATAAAAAGGATGCAAAGCCAAAATATTCCTATCAAAAAGACAAAACGCATTGTAAAGGGTGCTTCTAAGAGTCCTTTATCGTCAATTGCAGGCAATTCGAAGGTTCATCAGCGTTGTACGAAGGAATCTAAGCTGGATATTTGGCGTGAGGCTGGAAATGCAAGAATTCGAGACTATTGGCACCGCGCCAATCAGGCTCTTAAAGAAAAAGAAGAAGCATCAGGGGGTAGACATTATCTTGAAGCTAATAGTGAGCTATTTAAATATATAGATCCAGATGGGATGGTGGCTGAAAAATAGGGTCGAAATTGAAATAATGGTTTTTTTGTTAATAGGTGTGGGTTTGTTAAAAGGTGTGGGCTCACCTACACCCTGGAGGGGTGGAGGTGAGTGCTTAGTCACAATTAGTACATCACTTAATTTAAACGCAAATCAGTTTTTGAAAATCTAGCTATTGAAGCTAGAGAAAGTGCATCATTTCATGGCAGAAGGTCAGCTGATCATGGGGCTGAGAATTCCCCCCATTTTCTGAGGCCTGGGGCCTTCACTAACACCATCATAGTACGCACCGCTTATTGACTATGAATTCAATCTCGTTTGGTAACGACAGCTTGGGGCCTCAATTTGGGACCAACCACGGAGTTATCAATGTTTTATCCGGTACAATTATTGAAGTCTTATCCAAGTCCGGGTTAGCTGACTAAACGCCTCTTTTAGGGCCAGCTCGAACAGAAACCCCTCAGCAGAGGGTAGATAACGGTTCGCTTCGCCCCGTATCTGTCAAAGAGACTTTCACTTACCAGAGTGGTAGAGATACTCAAGTCACTGGCATTTCCGCAGATGCTAGACCGGAGAGAGAATGTCGAGCCATGTCATACCAATACCTGCCAATGGATTTTGGACTTGGAAAAGTACCAATCCTGGAGGAGCGAATCCCGTGGTCTACTATGGATTAAGGGCAAACCGGGTGCGGGTAAATCGACATTGATGTTATTCCTACACGGCAAACTCAAGAGTGTACAGAACGGTAACCAGGGCATCCAGCTCGACTTTTTCTTTACTGCGCGGGGCACAGAGATGCAACGTATACCATTGGGTATGCTTCGATCCTTACTGAACCAATTATTTGTTCGCGATGCGACCGTGCGCCATTAGGTATGCGAGACCTATGAACAACGATGTCGGCAGTTTGGATACGGCGAAGGTAAGTGGGAATGGACACACGGGGTTCTAGAAGAGTTACTGGCGGCTGTCATCCTAGCATATGCTAGTCGATAACATGTAACGGTTTTTGTCGATGTGCTAGATGAGACCGGAGCTGAGTCTGCTCGACAACTCGCAGCGTATTTCCATCGACTCATTAACCGAGCAGCAAAAGGGACGCTGCGATTCGAGTCTGCATTTCATGTCGACACTATCCCATCATAGGAAGTGCCCAGACCATGGAGATACATGTCGAACAGCATAATCAAAAAGACATCGCTATATACATCAAGGATATACTTGCCGAGACAGAGGTCGAAGGCAGCCCTAGCGAAGAGAAGAGACAGACGCTGATGGAACAACTCATCTAGTAAGCCAATGGTGTGTTCTAATGGGCTCGTCTTGTAATGCCTCTTGTCCGATCCAGGATTGATGAAGGGGAATCGTTCGATGACATCTGTTCCTGGTTACGCGAGGTCCCGGCTGGCCTGGAAGATGTGTATATGTACACTCTGAACGACGTGATAGAAGTGCGGAACTTGGAGTAATCATTCCTACTGTTTCAATGGGTGTGCCTGGCTGAGCGTCCACTGACTGTGGTTGAAATGCGGTATGCTTTGGCAGGAAATAATGCCTAAATAACGCGTGCCCCGAAGACATGGGAGAAGATCTATGGTTTTGTTGAAAGCGACGAGCGCATGAAGCGAAGGATCAAGGTCCTTTCTGGTGGATTAGCGGAAGTCGTCTTGAGCGGAGCTTCGAATGACACTGTCCAAGTGGTACACCAGTCAGTCAATGATTTCTTGCGCGCGAAAGGGCTAGCTACCTTAAGTGATACTATCGGTGCCAGCAGTCCGGTATCACAAAGAGAAAACATCCTCTTAGAATGTCAGGCAAATCTCTATCGTTCTTATCTTGTTTATCTGGCCTTACTCCGTGTACGTGGAGATATTTCGAGTGATTCCCAGGCGACGAAAGAGGACCTTATGCGGAACCACCCATTAGTTGCTTACGCCACTACCAACCTCTTCATTCATGCGGAAAAGGCTGCTCAGTTTCGTGTGCTGATGCTACGGAACGACCATGATATTCTACAGCAAGTGATAAGTCAATGGATCCAGATTTACCAGATTCTTGACCCATTTAGCCCAATGTGCCCACGAAGAAGAACCACAATCATTCATATAGCGGCAGCCGCAAATCTCGTTGATATCATAGAGCGTGTGTCTTTGAACAGCGAGGACGTGACGAGGGAAGACGAAGGCGGAAATACACCTTTCCATTTGGCATCGCGACACGGTCATATAACAGGGGGAAGAATATTGCATAAGAAAGCAGCGGATTGTGGAGCAATAAATAGGGAAGGAAGAACGCCATTGATTGAGGCGGCTGGCTTTGGGCATACGAAATTTGTCGAATGGCTCCTGCTCGAAGGTGTGAAGCTTGAAGCAACAATGGGTAAAGGCGCAAGTGCTCTACAAGAAGCTTCGTTGGGAGGACATCAGGACGTCGTTGAAAGATTACTTGGAGCTGGCGCCGATGTGCACGCTCAGGGTGGTAGATACGGCAATGCCCTACAGGCTGCTGTATACGGGGAAAGCAGTGAGATCGTGCAGATGCTCCTCGACGCTGGCGCCGATGTCATCGCTCAGGGTGGTGAATACGGCAACGCCCTACAGGCTGCTGCAGTCCGTAAAAACAGTGAGATCGTGCAGTTGCTCCTCAACGCTGGCGCCGATGTCATCGCTCAGGGTGGTAGATACGGCAACGCCCTACAGGCTGCTGCTGCATACGGGAAAAGCAGTGAGATCGTGCAGATGCTCCTCGACGCTGGCGCCGATGTCAACGCTCAGGGTGGTACATACGGAAACGTCCTACAGGCTGCTGCTGCATACGGGAAAAGCAGTGAGATCGTGCAGATGCTCCTCGACGCTGGCGCCGATGTCAACGCTCAGGGTGGTAGATATGGATCATCTCTTTTGGCGGCTGTTTATCAGGGACATGCTGATCAAGTTCAAATGCTTCTTCACGCTGGCGCAAATGTGTTGCTTGCAGATGAACTTGGCCAAACTCCTCTTCATATTGCTGCCTCGAAAGATAGGCTCAACCTTCTCCATAGGTTTCCGGAGCTCCTCTCCCCTATTAATACCCAGGACAAACTTTTACAAACCCCCATTCATCTGGCTATTTGTCTCGGCCATATCGAATTTGCCACAAATCTCCTCCACCTCGGTGCCAATCCTTCTCTTTTAGATGGTTACGGCAGAAATACCCTAGACTGGGTACTTGGAAACGAAAGCCTGGTGCAACAAATCCAAAAGCACTACCCTTCAATTGTTGCGACACCTGATAATACCCAAGAGCTTGCTGTTCGTCAATCCATCCTTCAAATCTCAGATACGCTTCTTCAGTCTCAACTGCACTTCCCATGGCCACTTTTGCAGCAGTTAGGTCGCTATCTATTGTTTGTTAGCGACGCAGACAATGCCCAATATCTATTTCAGCTGCATTTGTCTCAGGAGATTGTCATTGGCGCCCCCATGTACAAGACTACGTGTGGCATATGTAAAATCTTTATCAACGGCTCTCGCTTTGTGTGTAGTATCTGCGCCCATATGGATCTATGCTCGTCCTGCGTGCAGAAGTATCCCTTCCACAGTCGATTACACCCAAATCAAGAGCATAAGACCTTTGAAGTGTCGTATATGCTTGATCGAAAGTCTCCGCTCACTTCGTCAGCACCAGAGAAGTTGAGAGAACTCGTTGATAAACTTTCTGCGCCGAATACCCATAGAAGTGGGAACGGACCATCGCATGATTCCGTGGCTTATCTGCCATCCAAAGTCACCGCACCCAAATCGACAGCTGCAATTCTAACGGCTCTCCTAGGCCCAATCTCAATGTACTGTCTTCTTTCGTTTGGGCTTATAGCAGTTTCGTTTACATACTGGTATACCTTGATCTAATTGAATATATTTCTCACGCTTGCCGTCTCTATCATGTTATCATTAAATAATGATCGCTCTGGTATACAGGTACCGCAACCCAGACTATCATCTTCTGTATGCCGTTGTAATATATGTGGTTTTTAGAGTTCATCTAAAAAAGGCTGGTGTCTTTACGTATTCTAGTAATCCAGCCAATTAAGTAGCATTACTCATACGATGAAACATGATGGAACGTATTATGTAGCATAAAATACTGTAAATTAATAACACAGATCTTCATATCCGGTGGCTGCTCTCAATATAGTATAATTGGACTTGACGTCCAAGGCTTGATAAAGGGTGGATGAGTTTGAGCGGTCACACAGATTTCCGCAAGCACTGTAACATGGTAAAAATTCTCTTCATTGGATGATTCTAGCAACGGCCTTCATCCCACTATAAGTAGCCACGATCCAAGCCCAGTTCCACATGTTACTATTCGCTTGTCGACTCCATCTTTGCGCAGCCAAAGAACTTAGTACATCCTTCACTGGCGAGTCGGCAGCGGCTCAGTCTTTTTCCCTCGGCCAGATAACGAGGAATCAAATAGGCGAAGGCACGCGAGGAGAAAGGTGAAGAAGCAAGAGAGGCAAGAAATAGAAAGGAGCAATAGAGAATGTTGTCGAGATGACACTACTCGAAGCCATATTACTAGTACAAGTGTTTCTTCTCGTGAAATAGCCCTCCATGGTGGTGGATCAGCTCCCCCTCATGGAACTGCCCCTGCTCGGGGGACTGCCCCGCCTCGTGGAAGCCATGGACTTCGTCCGAGACGAGGTTGCTTCTCTGCTCCTGTGTTGGCTCTACTGGCATCATTTGGATTGATTTGGATCTTGTCTAAGACAGGAAACTACGAAGCCAGAACACAGATGCAGCAAGCAGCTTGACAGACTCAATGCAATGTGATTCGCTCAATGGGATGGTGCTGTTAGGAGTAGAATTTCAGTCATCCCATTCTTCAATAGTCAAGCCGGCGTGCCGGAAATGACCTCTAGCATTAGCTTCTCTTGTCCCAACCTGATTAATACACCGCTCGAGAAAGGAGGAAAATTCTCGGTCAGGATCTTCTGCGTAGTAGCTCTAATTGCGTCTTATGTAGCCTTTGAGTTCAGCGAAAAACTCTTCAATTGCATTCAGGTCTGGCGAGTAAGGAGGCAAATAAACCAGTTTGACTCCCGCATCAGCACACATCTTTAAAATCCGCTCAGAGCGGTGAAACGATGCATTATCTATGACCAGAACCGACTTCGGCTCCGGCCATCTCCCGCAATGACGAAGGAGCTCATCGATGAAGTCTTCGAACACAGTGGCATCCGTCGAGCCGTGAAAGACGCGAGTAATCAAAATACCATCTTGGGAGTACGCATGCAGGATTTGATACAGGGAGGATCGAAATCAGTTTCACCACTTGCACATAGAGATTCTTTTCTCAAACCCTTTTTCGAAACACACTAATCTAATTCCGACTTAGCTCGGTTGCAAGTATTGAATCGTACTGAAAGGCTACATCACGTGTTTGGTGCTCACTCATTACTCGTAACACTGATACCAGAAATAACTAATTAATGACACTTAAATGTACAGGGCGGATCGAAATCAGTTTCACCATTTTGTTCTCTTTGATTATTTCTCTGGCTCTAATTTTAGAGGCACTAGGCTTGATATAGTTAGTCAATGCTGATCACCAAATTTCTATTCGACTTTTCAAGATGATCTAGGCCATATGTAGACTAAAGCGGGTCTGTCCAGGATTTGAGAATAACCAAAGAGAATGAAGTGGTGAAACTGATTTCGAGCGGACCTGTACTTAGATTTTTACTTTATTTCCGAAACTCAATAGAACTTTAAGGTCGTTTTCGTTCGAAGAGTACGCACTAAGTTAGATTTTTGATAGGATGATGGGTTGGGAAAGTGCACATGAAACTAGAAAATGCAATGTAAACATAAACCCTAAGAATATAATTGTCGCATCTACGTATATCCAGCGACTTCTTTACTATTCCCTGTCCGTTTCCGACTCACCATTCGTTCTCCGTTCCTTATCTATTTCCATTCCCATTCAGTTGTCCCTAAGAGCAGCTTTAAAATTCATGTATAGCCTTCATTTAAGGCGGCTTAGAGAGCGTTGCCGTAACGGCCGCCCTCTGCGTTGACGTCCGCTCCCTTGTCTAAAAGCAGTGCGACAATCTCTTGATGGCCTTTTGCTGAGGCGGCCTGGAGAGCGTTGCCGTAACGGCCGCGCTCTGCGTTGATATCCGCTCCCTTGTCTAAGAGTATTGTTACAATCTCTTGATGGCCTTGATACGAGGCGGCCTGGAGAGCATTGCCCCATTCGCCGCCCTCTGCGTTGACGTCCGCTCCGTTGTCTAAAAGCAGTGCGACAATCTCTTGATGGCCTTTTGCCGAGGCGGCATAGAGAGCATTGCCGCATTCGCCGCCCTTTGCGTTGACGTCCGCTCCCCTGTCTAAGAGCAGTCTGACAATCTCTTGATGGCCTTGATACGAGGCGGCCTGGAGAGCGTTGCCATAATAGCCGCCCTCTGCGTTGACGTCCGCTCCTTTGCCAATGATCTCTTTTACGGGTGCTACGAGCCCATCGAAGGAAGCATAGTATAGCCTCGAGCCTCGAGCAGGTCCAGGTTCTTCATCCCAATACCTATCAGCCTGATACAAACGAGCCCAACGTTGAAATGTCCTTTCTTTCTCTAGGAACGTGACTGTTGCTCGAACTATCTCTTTGGAGGCCTGAGCTAACGCAGCATGACCTGTCCAGGTTTTCGCCGCATATCTTGCCAGCGGAAAATCCCGCCTAATCTCACTCTTACTACCGTTGATGTCGGTAAGATAAGTTAAGCACGTCCTCGTAATAGACATGCTGGCGGTCGTAATTGTGTAGTCATTCTCTCCTAGGAGGTACTCTTTGACGGAAAAGTGGGCAAGATGTAATTCTGTTTCGGTGGCGTGAAAAATTGTCACTAAACCGGGGCAGTAACTTAAAACATCAGTCTCGCAAAACAATCGACGCTTGATGTTGAACCCCTGCGATCCATTTTCGATCGGCGTTGCTATTACTTCTTTAGCCTCGGCCAGCTTGAGAGGTTCCTTGGAGTGTACGAGGAACTGGAGGAGACGTATTGCGTCATTTTTACGCTCCGTCGGTATTGCCGTAATCATACGCTTGTATGTCTTATTTAAGGTCCGTGGTAAAGATACGAGAGCCTCCTCCATAGCTGCCTCGTGCGGACATTTGGCTAGGCTGTCCAATTAACAGAACGCCCACCTGAACCTAAGCAGGGCGTAAGTAAATAAAAAAATATTGATTGAACCAGTAATGTCTCACATTCCGTCGGCCCCATCGCCGACCTTCCTCTGAATCTCTTCAAGGAGATCCTGGGACAAGGGCTTCTCTGTAAAATCACGCCGTTGGGAAAGTTGTGCTGTGACCCACGATCGGATATCGGAATTGACAGCAGACTGATCAAGTGGTTGGCAGTTTTCATTTCCTATTAAAGGGGGGATATGGCGCAGAAACTCGAATTCAGGTCGTCCCGTTAAAAGCAATTGGACATACGCCAACTCTGGCCCAGAAACCACATCTTTGATCCACTCAATAGCATCAATCCTGGTTTTCGATTCATCCAATGCGTCTAGAACGATATAGACCTTTCTCTGGGCTATAAGCATCTTCAAAACCATAACCCAGAGCGCCTTGGTCGTAGGTTGGTCCTTACCATTCTGGTGTGCTTGAAGCAAAGCATCAAGATGAATTGTAGAGTCAATCCCACCTTGGTAAAGTTGACAAGCAAGCGAGCGCAACACGCCTTCCAAAGTTTGCTTTGCGATGTCATTAAAGTCAAAGAAAAAGCTAAGGATAAGACCATCGGTTCGCTGCGCGAGGTAGTCAAGCACAGTTGCACTGAGAACTGTTTTTCCACATCCCGCGAGCCCGTATAGCCATAAGTGTCGATGGGACCCTAAGTACCACGACTGGAAGACAGGATGCTCCAGGAGCCACGCTCCCGTCCCCTTATGGCGGAGCGTCCTCGCTTGATTGGCGTTCGTAGACGGATCCGGGGGACAAAGCCAGCGCATGATCTGATCAGTATAAAGGTCCGACCTGATGCAATCAGTTGCTGCTTTTGTTGCAATCGCCGTCTGCTGCACGCTGTCGATCTGTTGTTGAACTACTTTTCGTCAGGACTGTTTTCCAGTGTAGTTATTTTTTAGTCTTATGTATTTGCCCATACTTCAGACACCTGCAGCCGGTATATTCATGTAGGTAGCTAGGTACTAACCCTTCTCTAAGATAGCTTTTGCTGAAGACTCGGCGTCAACAACACTAGGCTGCACACATCCCAGAAGTTCCTTTGCGTATGCAGCGGCCACGGCTGCAGCATATTCTTGCCAGGATTTTTCCTTTCCCGAGTCCGCGTAGTCACAAATACCTCGGATGACAATACATGGGAAGTCATTCATAAGCCCAGCTGCCTCCATCTCCACGCATAGTAAGTGCCCGCCAAATGCTTTATCAAGGGAGTCTCGAGACTGAGCATCCTTAACCACTTTGTTCCCGGATGCAATTAAGCCATAGTGCACCTTGACTTCTTTTTGGGTCCTCACTCCCTCCAATTTCTCTAATAACTGTCCATTCTCTTCGATTACCGGACCAACGGCCCTTGTACCAAGAAAATATGCGACAACTGTGATGATCGCCTGCCATAACCTAGACAGGAAGTGGACTTCGGACGGAGTCCGACGCACCCTTTCAGGTACTAATAATGGGTCTTCCAAGCACTCACGTCTGGTATATTTTGGCGCCAGTCGCGGGATTTTCCTTTCCACATCATTCAAGTACTCATTTATTTTCGATCCATACATCTCATGGTTGCTCTTCAGCCGATTCGACGCATTGAGCAGCGCGTTCGGAGGTCTGTTCAACGAGCCCGTGTGGACAAACTGCCCACCCCGTTCCAACTTCCCCATATCCCATTGTACTACCCCGTGATAGTCAGCAACAGGTTGGCTGACCACTACATCACCCAGATTGACCTTCGACGGATTTCCACCCCCAATCCCTACCATGAGCCCGAACCTGATTGATTGGAACGTGTTGATCATCGTGGTCGCAACGGTCGCGGCAGGATTAGTTCCCATGTTCGGTAGGCAGGCTATTACGACGTTATGGCCGCATATTGAGCCAAGGGTGTACGCATTATGGTCATTGCGAGGGATCGGGAGAGCTTCATGCTCTTCATCTAGCATGGCTATGGCTGCCGTTTGTTCCTTCGAAAGGGCGCACACCCACCCGATAGTGTAGGCGTCATGATGAAGTCGCTTTCGACGTAAGGATGTTTCGGGACTAGTATTTCTTTGTGCTAACACTGATTGCTCTGCCTGAGATTGGGGGTCTCAGCCATGTTGGATGGAAAACGACTCGACTAGGCAGAATGTTCAGACGCGCAAAATAGTACTCGAAATACTACTCAAAACACACTCTCTTTTAGTATAACCAGAGATCTTGGCTTGTCTTGGCCAGACGAGAGAGACCGCGGTGAATAATAGTCGATGGATAGGCGGACGTCAAGGAGAAGCTGTTTTCAAAAAGTTCCTAGTAGTTCATGACGAGAATCTCAGCCGGGCAAGGCACGTCCTCAGCCTCATCATCATGTGACTCCGGGGCATCAAGTCAGGAACCAATTGCCCTTTTTGAATACAGTATCGTCTCTATACAACTTGCTCATTCACAGTGCTCACTCGAGGGCAAGTGATTGGCGGAATGTAGATTCGGGCTCCTGCCATGACATCAAACGAGTAGGCACCCGTCTGTTTACGTTGCTTGGTAGACCAGCGTTCTAGAAACCACTGAGAGATTACGAGTCTATTACGGAAGCTATTTTTAGCCTGTTATTTACAACTGTATTGGAATACTGCCAAGAAAGGGGTTCAGGGGCAGAGTAACCGTAGTAGGTATAGCGTGTTTCGGGACAGGGTACGAGAAAGAATCTCTGTGAACAAGTGGTGAAACTGATTTCGATCCTCCCTGTAACGCTCGTCACGGTGGAATTGAGACACTTGTCGAGGTGCTACACCTAGTGGTGACCAGCCTGTTCGTCGGAACCCAATTCGTTTATCGCATCCAGATTCATCAACATAAACAAGGTGGTACGACTCAAAGTCGGAAAGGTTATGAAGATAAATTTCTCGTAATTCAGCATTCTGCTCTCTAGCAGTCTGTCTGGAAGTCTTTTTAGACCAGCCTCTGGATACGAGGGCCCTCCTAATGCTAGAGGTTGACGCTAGCATCCGGAATTCATCCTATAGAAAGATAGCCATCTCATCGAGGTACAGGCCTGGTTTCTCCAGCAAATGGTCACAGAGCGCTTCTAACATCGGTGGTGTTATGCTTCGTCTTCGACCGATACGAGTTGAGGGGGCATGGACTTGTCCAAATAGTCGCAGGTTTCTGCGGGTATTCTTGATCGTCTTTTCGCTGCACTCAGCTGCGTCAGCCATTTGAGACGTGGTTAGTGACTGACTTTGTATCGTATCACGAATAAAGTATAACTTCGACAGAGGTAGGTTCGGTGCCATATTGTGCAGATGGTTCTACTCAAATCGTGGTGCTGCAGAAGGACGGAATGTCAAGCATGTAGAGGCACCAAGATAGCGCTGTATAGGGGTTTCATGTAATATACAGTATCATACGTAATGAGATGGTTCTTGAATTCAAACGGATCTATTTTTAGGATATAATTATTACCGTTTTAGCCGAAAAAGGATTAGGGTAGTTTCGGGTACGGGCCGAGGAACAATGCGTTAGTGTCCACAGGGGAATCCGTTTTCGAAATCTACTGTAGCATAGCTTCAATACTTTGCTCCAATGAGACGGGATAGGCATAAATCAGCTAGCTCAAAGTCAAATAGCTTTCTCGAAGATTTTTCTTGTAGCATGTGTAAGGTGCTGTAGTTGTATTGTTATGTAGTTGTATGGGCCACAATTCAGTAATTGACTGAGTAGTGCGTACAGTCGTTCTCAAAATCGGCTCGACAAATACACTCTTGATCACTCTTTTCCGACCCCACTGCCAAGGCCTTAGCGCAGATCAATTATTGAGCGGGCCGCGTCAAATTGATGGATATCGCAAAAGTCACCTAGCAGAAAGTCCAGGAACCAGTTGCTAGGCAAAATCCCGCATGATTTACAGAGCCTCATTGTAGAATTCCACTTTATTCTCGTAAGCGTTCCGTAATCTAGATACTTGGATACGGTAGTATACTTGTTGCCTTTAATGATGTCCATCAATTTGATGAGGCCCGCTCAATAATTGATCTGCGCTAGGCCTTGGTAGTAGGGTCAGAAAAGAGTGACGAAGAGTGTATCTGTCAAGCCGATTTCGAGAACGGCTGTACCAGGATGACAGAACAATAACATTAAAACAGGTGCTCTAATATTCTTGTTGAGATGAGAAGCCCGCTGAATATTATTCAAAAGTGCACATCGAAATGTGATGTGTAGGAGCCATCAATATACGTTTTCCCTTCCAGGCAGCATTTTAGCTCCTTGTCTGAAAATAGTTTACTCATCACATTTTTCATCGGTAATAAAATTAGCATTTCTTGAGTTCCTTTTGTAATGGTGTGTAGTTTTGAATTCCCTTGGGCATCGAACATTGGAGAAACACATAAAAGGCTTAGGGTAGGCTCTATCAGAGTGTGAATCCTCAAGCCAAAAACGTTTATAGAAATCTTACTTACCATCTTTCCTTATGACTCCTCGACTTTTTTTTCTGGCGCTAGCCTCCACTGTCAATGCCTACCTCCAGGCGTCGCAGTTTGCTGAAGACACTTGTAGTACACTCAATCGTTGGGAGGTAGCTAGAAACATGACTAGTTCTGCACAGTATCTTTTGGGCAGTCACGAAAGATCATTCTTGCTTTCCGAGAACTGTACAGATCATTTAGAGACAGCTGTTATGAACTGTTGGTATGCAACTCCCAATAACTAACAAATGACTGACTATTGCAAGGTATGGACGGCTCGAAGTTTCTGTGCAGCGAATTTTCGATATCAGTTACAAATAACAAGAACACTGCAAAAGGGTCCAGGAGTGTGGTCTTGGCTAAGAAGTCCCAATCGGACTAGACATCCTCGGCTGAGTCAGGCTGCACTTGTTCTACCCTAAATGACGTGTTAGCGTCATCCTCTACATCAGCTAATAAGTCCTCGGCAATTATTGCATCCTCTATCAACGCGGTAGTTTCAAATATGAGTGCTTCGGAGGGGACTACTTCTTCGGTTCCCATTAGGACTTCGATTGTACCACAATCCTCGGCAACTAGTTCATCGTCTACCACTGCAACATCTCTAAGTATGGGCACTTCAGAGCTGAGTACTTCTTCGGTCTCCATTGTCTCTTCGACAGTAGTAGAATCCTCGGTAATCACTTCATCATCTGCCACTGCAGTACCTTCAAGTATGAGCACTTCAGAGGTAAGTTCTCAGTTTGTTCCCTCTGGGTCCTTGGTCAAACCCCAGCTCCCGACTTCTACGAGGTTTCAACCCACTACAACAACTGCAACTATAACTTCTTCAGGAGGAACTTCCTTAACGACTGCCAGCATCTGCATCATCAAGTACGTTGATCAAATGTAGACTTTGACATACTATTAGAAGCTAATCAGCTTTACAGGACTGCGGATTTACAAAAGGGCCTTTGTTATTGCCTTGATAATCAGATCATTAGCCGTACAGACGGTGATTGTCAAACCGTCGCCTGAGGAATCCAAATTGTGGTGTTTTATATTTTGACTTGTAGAGATGGCTCCATGTATGGAATGTCTCCTTTTTGTGTTTATGGTGCGTGAACACGATTGCGAGGGTTTGCGTTTTCCGAAGGTTATAGGAAGCTGAATGAATGTTTCTATGTCATTTGTTTTCTTACAGTGCCCCGGCATCCATTGCACACAGCAAGCAAGCTCGGCAGCTTAGTGCTTCGAGTCCGCCTACATTTACCCTAGAAAACCCGCTACCACAACCTAGTAACGTAATTTGGGTTGCGATTCGCTTCCAGAGCGGACATGCTGACACACAGGATTAAGGCTGATCTAGAATTCGTGCTCATTGATTCGTGCCTCTGGTGGATTCGTCGGTAACCAAGCTAATGGTATAAAATATTTTAATGAACTCAGCTCTGTGCACAGACAATTGATCTGTTCGGCCGATCCAAATTTGTAGAAAATCAGAGATATCCCGGTCCTCATTGAGCGTGGCAACGACAGTGCCAAGTTGCTCATGTTAGTGAATCATAATTTACGACCACGCCCGAGATGGATCGTATCCTGGGAGCGTTCTGCCAAACCCAGTTTGCTTGAAGGTCTCTTATGTCTCACTGGTGATAGCGGTCTCGAGTCAATTGAATTTGATCTGTTCAGTGTTTCAAAACCTATCCTATTTAGGGCCCAGGGCTGTGTAAATCGTGAAAATATCTATTTTGAATCTTGATAGAACAAAGAGCGTGGGGAAGTGATATAGCTCTCTATATAATCTTAGTTCATTTAGTCAAGGAATTCTCTCGCTCCAACATGCGATAACATTATATCCCAAAAGAAAGCACCCATTAAGACCTATTTCATGCCTATGAAGCCCCGCAATCGACGGCCAAGGCTAAATCCCGCCGCTCCAATGCCAAAAGTTGAGTACGCCATGTTAAAGATTAATCTTCTCCGGTTTTCAGACTTATTTCAAAAAGCTTAATCCATTGGGAGATATACCATTGTGATCGAAATGGTTTAAACCTGTCCTCTTGACCAGTTCTCATTGGCCAAGCAAAACATACTACGAAGGCTAGTTTAGCCAGCTGAGGAATGATTTATCCATACTTGTTTCATCGCACTCCAGATAACCTGCTGATAAAAGTTCTTTAGCGCTAAATCCACCGTGTGGAAGGATTACAAATTCGTGGAACATTCCATTGACGTTTCCACTCTCGCTCTGCTCGTGCCTCCTGCACACGGGATTTTTCTAAAGCCTCGCATAAGGATTTGATCGCGTGCGAAACTCGCGCATTCCCTACAGGACTGGCCTCTAGCTCAAAGAGATATTGCAGTGTCAAGCCTTCCGAAACATCAGCGACAGCTGTGGATAAACTATGGAATATATCAAGGCATGAGCGATAGAACTGGTTTTCGCTTTCTTGCAATTCCCATTGGCGGAGCTTTTCTTGGCGTAGTTCTGGCAGCGAGAGTCTGCGTCTGTCCTTGGATTCTTGTAGACGTTTGCGGGTAGTTTCTAAAGCTATAGTAGAGCCACGAACCAAGGCAATCTGATGGTCCAATGAATTGATTTCTAGAAGGTCATGTCCGGTAGGAAGCGGAATGAATCATCTGGCAAAATATCTTTTGGTGAATTGGGCGACCGGCTGTAGATGCTTGAAGAAGCGCCACTGGAAAAGCGATTCTTAGTCGCTTCCGAGGACATGATGAGAATGAGTATGAAGATGAATATTTTTGCAAGGAACAAGACTCCGTTTTAAAGCCCTGAAATTGCTTACATTCTTGCCGACGCTAATCGCGCCAATTGCCCTTTCTGGAACACTCAAAAACTTCTATTGGATTGTTGTGATAGGAGCGAATAAATAGGGTGGCATTCTTTTTTCCCGGATGAGACACCCGCATGAAATGCACTCACAAATTACCTGGGTTTCTTTCCCCAAATGTTCTCGCTGAGGTAGTACTTACGAATGTGGTCTCACTTGTTATCGGGTTTCAATAATCGGTAATTTCAATAAAAAAGAACGACTGCTGCTATCCGTATTCCGAGTCTCAGATAATAATTCTCCTGGCACTGAAGCCTAAATTTAGCCAATATTTTGAATCAGCGTAGCTCTGTCGAATATTTGGTTCAATCTCAAAGTAATAGTCTACTATGATTTTTGAAATTTCATCTAAAGTGTTGGAACATATGAGTCTTCATATGCTAGGGCGGGTGCATACCAGTTTCTCCCCCTTGCATATGCTGGTCGAGTCACACAAAACTACTCCCAACTCGCACGAAGACAATAACAACCAATACAATCTACTTTTGCGCTTTAAAGGCAAAACCTTGTTCACTTAACTGTGTACACAGTACCTAGCAAGTGAGACCAACATAAAGAATTAACTCTATTATTCGACATCGCATTTTTTACACGTTTTGTTCGGATAGAAGGCTTTTCGCGGATCCCCAGATATTATTGCATTTTTTTTTAGAGGCAAGTCTAATTTTCAAGCGCTTTAGTTGACTTGGGCTGAAAGATGTCTTTGTCTTAAATACAATTTTGGGGGAATTTGCTATAAATAGAACGATAATCTCCCAGAAGTCAATAGTAGAAATTGTCTCATCTCAGCACACCAGAGGCTCAAGGGTTAAGCATAATCAATGACTGCAATTGTCTAAGTATCGAATACTATAACCGACGCCTCTTTCTCTCCGGGCAAGGCTCCAAAAATTGGACCCGTCGTTTAGTTCCACGAGTGCAATAGCACATTCTTTTTGGGGGCCAACAATTCTCTAAATGGTCAGCACGTCCAAAACATGCGTAAGCTTGTTGATCTTCCAGAATTTCCTACATCGACTTTAGAAAGCCACCAATTTTATGCCGGAAAGAAGAGTTGGCAATCTCAATTGAAATAATCTCTTCCAGACTATTAACTGTAAAAGCCACTTTTTTACGATAGTAGCCATATCCCCGACACTCGTCATCGTTGGCAATCAGACCAAGATGGTATCCGCTCCCAGTTTGGAACCGAGCGCCCGGGAACTCAAGGAGCACCCTCTTAATCAAATCACCAGCATCAGGGCTTGAACAGAGAATTGAGCCTTCACAATAGAAGCTTCCTTGCATTTTGATAGGTATTTCGTCTAATTCCAAGAATAAAAAGCCTGTGGCCAGTATCGCACGAACGAGCTTATCTGGGACGCTGTATGACGATTCAGCAAGATCTATCAATCTGTCCACATCATCTAGCCTAGGTAAAGGCCAAGGTAGAGCGTGATTGAGTCGGAATATATGCGCTCTCATACGGTCTGGAACATAATTGAGTGCCTCGGAAAACCCCTGCTCGCCATCCATGGACGGCGAGGACATGGCTGCTCTGATAATGCGCGGAACAGCTCCGTCTTGAAGAATACTCCCTAGAGGGGTATCTTGAGCCTTATACTCGGGAATAGAAAGACCGGTACCAACTGATACAAGCAAATCAGGTGTTCCATGCGATGGCCAGATAGTAGCGGATTCCTTCAGTGCAATTGCCAAGGGATTGTTGGCCCGCACTCCCCCATCCTGCAACGGACCAAATCTAGGGAGAGTTTTCGTTTGGAAGAACCTATTTGACAATTAACTTGAGCAATGTAATAGGTAGTCTTTGATTGAACTGGCTTACCAAGGAGCAGCGACACTGCACCGAGCACTATAAAATGGCAAGAGTCAGCTCTATGAAGACATGAATGTAATGTTTTCAGCATTTGTATTGATGTAGTAATATAAGATTAACAGCACTCACGCTTCCCATAGAAATGGATTCTGACTTTCTTCTTCCGGTTTCAAAAACTCGTACGCCGAATCGACTAGGCGTCGACCAACCCCGCGATAATTTGCTAGTACACAGGCCTTCCCATCGGAGATACGACTTGTGATGATGGCTACTCGACTGCCGGCAGTCCGAGTTGTGCTCATATCAAACATTCGCCGCTCTAGATCAATTGCCTCTTTGAGGGTGTTCTCCAGCTGTATTCTATCATATTGACCATCTGCCAGGAAGCCAGCCACACATTTTAGCCATTTGGCGCAACTAAAAATTAAGAAATTATGCGAGGGAGCTAAGGCTAGTTGAAAGACCTTTCTGGCAAAAGCTGGAAATTTCCGAAAGCTATCTTCAGCCGATAAGCCATTCAGAATAAGATCTATTTCGTTAAGTGCCCCTGCTTCATGGTCAGATAATCTAAATACAGGAGTCACCGTAGGAGAACGGGAAAAGGCAGAAAGGAAAAGAATGAAACAACTGAATGCCGTGATTGCCACATACCAACACTTGTCCCTCTAGATAGATCAAATATATCGGATATGCGCATTCCATGCCCAAGCCGCTTTTCCAGTGCTCGTAGGAGACCCAGCTGAATGATGCCACGAATCCCACCACCGTCCAAACTAAGCACCAGGGGTCGTTTCGTGGGCGGTAGTTAACGGATCGTAAGCTAAGAAGTCTCGTGGCACAACGGGCACTTCACAATGTCAAAGTGATACGCAGCGCTTTTGTTTGGAGTGCCAAAAATCACAACGCAGGTATCGCAGATTGCATACCGGCACGCCAGCATATGTTCTGGTGATCGACATAAGCAATAGAAACAAGTCGTTGTTGAACTTAACCCATTACATTGAAGGTAATAAGTATTTAATGCGTCCTTTCTGATACTTACAGACGACCTGCTTGGACTCATTGAACGGAAGAACCGCGTAAAATGAGCAAACACGGCATTGTAATGTTGTTTCTCGTCGTTATCCCCTAGAGTACGCCATACTTCCAAATAGTGCCTGCGATAAAGAGTATTGAAAACAAGGCCTAGATGGAAGCCTGTGATTGTTAGCGCTACACTTAACCAAGGGAGGGTTCCATAATAAAGAAGTACGTTACTCACCATGCATTCCAGGTGGGTAGGCATTCATTAACAACGCCGATGCAATAAAATCATGAATTCCATCTTGGGAATAAGGATGGTTGTTTGCTTGGTTTAAGAACTCGACTAAGCATTCTGTCGTAATGTTATTAAGCCGGTGATTCTCTCGTGCAACTTCAAGGCAGTCCAAAACAGCAGCGTCCGAGGACCCGATTTCTAGACGCAGGGTTCATGTCTAGAGGGTACTCAGGTGTGTAGCCGAGAAAGATAGCCCTTGACGGTTTTGTTCCGTCCGGACGTCTTGTGTTCCATTGAGAATGAGACGGCGTAATGGCTCAAAAGCTGCTGTTAGGGATAATTCATACCGGTCGCGTAGATCTAGGACTATGACATCCTTACTAGGTATCCCAGTGGACTGAAGCTCATGGAAAACCTCGGAAACATTCTCAAGTTCGGAGCCTTGAGCAGCTATTAGAACTATCACAGTACGCATTGAATCTATAGTGGGCTCGGAGCCGATTGTTACAGTTCGGCGATGTCTATTAAGCAGCTGGCAGGCGTCGCGAAGTTCAGAGTGAGTATCTACAAATACACAAAATAGATTTGTCCATGGCAAGAGCATCTGCGAAATGACTTGCTGCTGAATCTCCGGTACTCGCCGAGACCGGTCTTGAAGAATGCGATATCGTCGAAGATTGTCCGATGACCAGCGGCGCAGACCCGATTCACCCACCCCGGAAACACTAGAAAGGCAGCTTTCCACCAAAAGAACAGGATGCTGAGTGTTTGCAGTCCTTGTACTCAGATGCAGTCGGGCTAGGCCAGCTGGTCCTCTGCGAGTAACGTTGTTGTGCGGGAAGAGCGCGCGAAGTGCCTTGATCCGGCTACCATTTCCTGCGAAATATACTACCGAAGGAAATTGTGTACTTGGATGGCTCATTCCTTGCACTAGCTCATCCATTCTTCCAGTGTCTACCAAGGTCCAGCCTATGGAGTCCGAGACGAGATCTAGCCACGCCGCCATTGAAACTGAAAGAAAGATAGCGAAAAAATCAGGAGCCCCAAGGTCAACAAGCTTTTAAATACTAGTAGGATGTTAGCATGGCTTTGAATGATCTTTCTGATAGTCAAAAAATACAAGTAATTCAATGACTCTTACTTCTGCAGCGTATTCAAAGATGATTTCGAACTACATGAACTTGAATCTGTTTGATGCCGGTTTGGCTAGTAAAATGGATGGGTACCATCTCGTTGCAATTTTTTAAATGAGAATAGGATCGCTTTGCTGCTATTCTAGAAAAAGGTATGTGGCACTGCGAAAACAAGAAAAACGTCGTACCAAAGATAGTAGAAAACGATGGCTAGAATTGAATATGACCATTGATATACATCTAGAAGAGGGGTAATCTACCATCTTGAAATAATCTCTTTTTCAGCGGCCAACTTCCGACGCTAGAAAACTGGTTTACTCATTTCAATGAGGCCAGCAAGATTCCAACTATTCCCAGTTAAAAGCGAATCTTCTCTATACTGAAGCCATGGCTGACTCGATGGGTCCTGAAATGGTAGCTCTTGGCCAAGCAAAGTTAGTTCTCGTGGTAAATCACAATTGACCAGGAAAAATGTGGGAGACGGAATTTCTCAAACTTAGTTGCAAAATAAAAGAGGGCAGCATTCAGTAAAGATAGTCTGGGATATGAGGGAGGCTTAAAGAAATGGTACCCTACTTTACTTGCATATTAACAAGCTTGAGGGACCCTATTTCCCCACGATACGTTTCTTTAACTTCATCCGATCTTCCGTAATAGTATATATATTTAAGGTGTTCGAATTCGATTGACGTGTGGATAATCTGCCTCTTTGACGGCTGACTTCATTAGAACGATGGTTCGATTACTAAAATTTCTCCAAACTTAGATCCAACGACGATGTCACACCGACACGATCGAAGATCAGCGCATGGGCCAAGCAAGATCCCATGAGATCTCAGGAAATGAGACACCATACACAAGGATGCTTAAAGAAGAGGCGCAGATGAACTGGATTTATAATCTACTCGCCAGTAGAGCAAACTGGGTGCTACTTGCAGGGTATTTGGTTATCCCTGGCACTTTCACCTCGTTAAAAGAATCAAATAGCGTAGAAGAGACATTGGAAAAGAATAACGCAGGGCGGGTAGTCCTGAGAACTATACAAAATCCTCCGCTCCTTGTTTTTGCCTGCCTATTCCTAGTCACTGGTGCGACTGTATTAGGGTGGTTATTCAAAATGTACAAAGCTAACTACTCTTGGTTGACTAATAAGCTTTTTATGTAAGGCAGCCCCTCGAAATGAAATACCTAGAGCTAACTGAATTGAAGGCCAGCATCCTTAAATACAGCGGCTGGTTTGCTCACCACGATCGTCAATGTTTGCGCTTCATAAGGCGGTGACTGGTCCGTCATAGCTCTCGTGACAACCATTGTCACAGGGGTCACCTTGGTGATCTGTCTGGGGCTTTCTGTCTTCTACAAGTTCTTCAAATTGCGAAAAGTGATCCAAAGCGACGCAAGTCGATCCAGTTATTTCGAGGTATTCTGGATGCGCGAAGATTGCCTTGGTCACGAGGTTGACGAGGCGAAAGAGCAGGATCGAGGTATTCGGCTCTGCATCGGAAATGACGAATTCAGCAGGGCTCAGAATCTGGCACTACTTTTAACCTCAGCTATTGAATACTGCTGGCGGTCTGACCAAAGGACACAATCTATGTGGGTAGAGGTACGGGCTGATACTGAAGGGTAGGTCTTAGATTAATCACAATTACTCTAGGGAATCTCTTGTGCTAACATTATATCAGGGTTTTAGCTTGCTTGCAGAATGATGGCTTCATTCAAAATAGCAAAGTCAAAGTCTCGCATGAGCATTATGTTATCATGGAGTTCGCGCGAGACTCTGAGGTAGTCGTGAGATCTGCTTGATCTGGTATTGAGTGGCTCAGAGCGACTGTGTTGGCCGTGTTGAGGAAGCTAAAAATGGCATTGGTGGCTCCAAATCAAAGGCAAGGCTTGAGAATATGTACTTAAGTTGCGGCCAGTGCATGTCTATGGCTTTCTCTTCCAGGGATTGTCAGAAATGAGAAAACACGGTGGCTGTGTTTTCTAGTTTGGGGGCGGTACGAAGGTGTATAGGGGCCAAAGGCCGGATGCCTGATTTTGTAAGGTTGATGCCTTAAGATGCCCGAGGATGCCTGATTTAAAACTGGCAGAGAGCCTTATTAAGCAAAGTAAATAAATTGCACAAGTGTTAAGTTCAATAAAATGAAGCTATTCCCACCATACAAATTTGCATGCATCTCCAAAACCTGGCGTTGAGAATATTTTCAAACCAATTTCTATGTTTTCTCTATTCTAGCTCGACCAACGAGAGGGAAGTGTTCTTGTAGATTTTATAGTGTCGCACTTTAATGAAACTGAAGCTATTCGCACCATATAAAACATCATACACCCCCCAGACCTAGCGCTGAGGCTATTCCCACCACACAAAACTTTATGCACCCCCCAGACCTAGCGCTGAGGCTATTCCCACCACACAAAACTTTATGCACCCCCCAGACCTGGCGCTGAGGCTATTCGCACCACACAAAACGCGATGCACCCCCAAATTGTCCCACCACGCGATTATTCACCTCCGGATCCTCCTCCGCTGGCTCCGACGTGGTGGAGTAACCGCCTCCTGTGTCTGCGACCGACCTCGCTTGCGCACTATTGCGGGTGCGGGTGGCGATGGGATTGTAAGGGGCGGTGGCGATGGTGATAGGACTGCGAGGGGCGTTGGACTTAGCGAGGCACGCTCTAGGTCGACCTCGACGATGCAATCCTGTGAATTATCAATTGCAGTTTCTTCTTGCGTTTCTCGCGCAATCACCACATAAAGTCTTGCCGATTGATTTGGCATTCTTGCAAGAAGATCCTTTACCTAGCCGTCGAAGTTATCCGTAATGCCTTCGATCCATTGAGGAGTAAGCTTGCCCCTAGCGGCCTTGGTCATCTTCCCAGCGAGGAAAAATTCATCTGTCGGCAGTGCTTGAAACTTCGTAGCTATAGGTAGCCTATATAGTAGCTTTCTCCCGATCCACTAGCTATACTTAAGCCCCTAAGTAGACGATCCACAATATAGATTACGAAGTTCGGCGTAAGCGCGCAAGGTAATTACTAAATATTAATAAGGAGGAGGCTTAGTTACTAGGTTAGCTATCGGCCGAGTTCTTCGCTCCATAGAGCCCACAATTCACATCCGAAGGCATAGGCGTAGAGGAAGGTTAATTATGGGATTCTAGCGACTTACTCGTTAATATTGTGCTCTTTCGCGATGGCTGAGACACCGTTAGCGTAGAGACTTACGTTTAGATTAATTGATATCTAGATTTAAATATTACATAGAGGATCTGCCATTTTCGCCAGATTGGATAGCTGTACCCTAGGGCATCGTAAGCAGCAGATTCGGTTGATTCGATTTTTGTCTCGTTCTCCAGGGGGATGGGGTCTTCTTCTCTGTGGTCTATTGCGGCTGTTGCAGAATCCGAGCGGGGCGCGTTGTTCTCGCCGTTCGTGACTTTGTTAGTGGATTCCATTGTAGATAGCTATACAATGAACACTGAGATGCAAAATATTTATCTGAATGTTGGCATGGATATAGATCATCTGGGCATAGTATGGGTTCATATACTCGTAGTTCCTTGACGTTTGTGGTGTTTTTCGTCCATGGGTACAATATGAACCCTTTGCCGTTCCAAGATTATGGGCGTGGCGACTCAACGACCATATGCTATATAGCGGGGAAGAGGCTACTTAATTGGCCAATTGAACCGGCAAGTCCGGACAAACATTGAAGCTGAATGTTAGTAATTCATGGGTGAAAGGGGGGTAGACTATGGGTATTTCAGCTCCTTTCTTCTTGCCAGTTATTAGGTCCTTTGAACTTTCCCAATGGGGTATAGTGTGTTTCATTCTGCCGTATACTTCTAGGGCGGTCAGGGGTTATGTTCGGATTCGGAATAGCTTCACATATTCCGAGTATGTATGTCCATGTAAGTCTAGATCCTTCCTTTTTAATTATTAGATTTGAATTCCTTGTAGAATATAGATCACTTTTCTTAAGTTGACCATCAAATTTTCCTTGAACAAACATTGAATGAGGAATATTTTATCTCAATTGATTAAAGTACACTGTCTAAAATGTATAAATATATCACAGTCACTAACATCTCCTTGACTTTGCACCATTTGCCTGTGGAAACAAATCAATTTTCAATCGAATCTACCAAGAGCATTGAATCTTGGGAGTAACCTCAACCGGAGCTGAGAACTCATAGCATGTGCCTGTGCTTGTGTCTGGACTCTTCTCACACGTCACATCAGATGTGAGATCGGGACAAGTGAATGTGCCCGCAGCATCAGTGGTACCCACATAAACACAGTCACTCATACCGTGAATATCGACTGAGATATCGAAAGTGCCATCCGGAAGGCCCTCGCCAGATGAGGGTGCCTCTTCACCTCCACCTACATCATCACACACGCTCCAGCTCTCGCTATATGTTGGATCAAAGAATTCCCAGGTGTATGGGTTGCCAAGCTCGTTGTCATCTTCAGCGAGAGCGATAATGAATCGTTCCGAGGGTGTGGCAGTCGCAGCGTCTGTTGTGGATGTCTTTGATGAAGTAGTCGATGTAGATGTGGTTTTTGTCGATGTGGATGTTGTGTACAGACCCGCTGTGAGCGAGTACTGCTCAGCGGAATAAAGAGATGAGAACTCTTTAGCAATTAGCGAGGCGAGTGATGTGAGGCTTGCCATCGGGTATGTCGTAGCGTCCATGGCACCAATTGACTCCGCGAAAGCAGTGTATGTACCAACTGCAATGCCGACTGTGATCGTACTTGTGGTCTCGGTGCTGGTGGCAGATTCACTCTTTGTCTCGGTCTTTGTCGTGGCGCTTTCGGTCATGGTGGTTACCTTGCCATTTTTGGTCATAGTAGTTGTGTATGCGCTTTCTGTAATGGTTGTTTTGTCATCATCGTTGTTGTCGTCGTCGTCGCCATCGTCACCGCCATCGTCACCACTTTCAGTACTAAAACCCGGAGGACAGATCAAGCAGCCTCCAAGGCAATTGATTGTACCTAAATAATTGATAAGTCAAATGATTCTAGATGGAGCATCTTTAAAAGAGAATTTGAGACGGTTTCTAAAACTTACACAGTGTGCCTGTATGCTCAGAGCTGGAGGTTGCCTTTGGACCCCAGCTCGAGGAGTCGGAAGACGATTTCACGGTGGTTGTCTTAGTGTTCAAAGTCGGGTCGGGTGTCTTGTTGGTGGTTGTCGGGTAGGCCAAAGGTGTCACAGTTGAAGTCTGCGGAGTCTGAGTGGTTCCACCGCTGACGGATGTGGTACCTCCCCATACACCAGTGTAATTGCTAGTAGTGTAGGTTACAATCCCAGAGGAATAACCGAATCCGGGGATAACGCTCGAGGTGCCACCGATGACGGTTGTGGAGCCTCCGACCGTTCTGCTTCGGTTAGCTTGACTTGACCTGCTAAGAAAGGATCACTGGCATTAAGATTTGGGACTCACGGGGTATAAACGATAGCGAAAGGCGTTGGAGTCACTGAACTCGTCTGGTAAACGGCTGTCTGACCTGCAGAGATATGTTGGTTCCACACATTAATATAATTAGTTGTCACTATATCAACAGGTCAGTATTTAGGATACCAGTGCGCGTATGATTCATAGGGAAACATGATAGCGTACCAGGATCGATGTTGAATACCCATGGGACAAGGATATTGTCGTAATATGAAAGCATAGTGACGTTTCCATCTCTGAGGGTGTATGAGGAGGACCCAAGTGAGCTCCAAGTAAGATGTCCGCTGGATGGGGGGAAAGAGATAGTGGTGTGCGAGTTCAAAGGTAGAGGGGGCATGACCATCAAACAGGGCGGCGCACAGGTAACAGCGGGAGTTGACTGTGACCAGACTTCAGGATCGATCGTAAGTGTTGCTGTCTCACCTGAGCTGTCTGAACTTCCTGAGCTACCGGACGAGCTCTCATCTTTATCCACAAACTCCTCGAGGTCAATGGCCCACTCGGCTGTACCACCAAAGTTATAGCCCTCGTACCAGGCTGCGCGCTTAGTCTTGGTATCATTGGTCATATAGCCGACCCATTGGGTGTCATTGTAGACGATGAAGTCAGTCACGTTTCCATCCGAGTAAGCCTTAGAGTTCTCGTTGGTCTGGAGAATTTGGTTGATCTCTGCATTCGAAATGTATCCCGCAGTATCGGTACATTCTCCTGCTCTTCCTGCGCCAGTCCAAGTGCAGCTGGAGGTATAGCAGCCTTCCTCAGACATCTCAAAAGAACGACCATAGCTAGTTACTCCGACCATAATTTGGTTAGTGGCAATTCCACTCTTGGTCAACATGGCCAGGGCCCATTCGGTTTCGGTCATATTGACATGGGAGAATAGACAGTCTCCGGCTGTACAGCCGTTGTCGGCCCAGGTACTTCCCTCATCCCAGATTCCATGCAGATCGTAGGTCATGTAGTTAATAAAGTCCACGACATCTGCCATCTCGGAGATTGGAAAGGCTTGGAGATACCAGTACGAGGTCGGAGCCGTAATTGAAAGAGTTTTGTCGTCAGGCAGGGCGGCCTTGAGCGCTTTGAGGAAAGCAAGGTAGTTATCTCCTTCGTCATCGCTTCCGGCCGGGATGCCTGCGATATCTGGCTCGCCTGGATACTCCCAATCAATGTCGATACCATCAAGACCGGTATCAGAAACATAGTTAACTATGTTCTCTACCAAGGTGGATCTTTGTGCTGCAGCAGTTCCCTCGCGAAAGATCATATATGTATCCACCCCGGTAGAGAAATCCCAGCCGCCGAAGGACATAACACGCTTGACGTCTTTCAGTTCCATGAACTCCGAAAACTCTGTTTCATATCCATTCACATTGATGGAGAAGTCCGAAGAAATATTGCCAAATGCATAAATGACGTGAGTCAATACAGATGTGTCAATTGAGAGCGGACTCATCTGGAGACAGGATCGATCCATACTAGTGGGTTCGTAGTAGCCGACCTTGTAGAAGCTTGAAGGAGGAACTGCCCAGTTTGTGATTGTTGTTCCACAATTTGAAAGACACCCGTATGATCCATTCGCTGCGGTTCCAGGGTTGTTATTGTCCGCAAAGGTGCGATTACAGTAAACTGGTGTAATACCGCACTGGCCAAAGGCGTCGCAACAGGCATTCAAAGGGCATGGGTTGTAGCTCTCCCAGTCCCCGGAATTGGTGCTATTAAAGACCGTTCCCGCAACCTGAGGTCCACACTCTGCGTTGGCAATCGGCAGGGGATAGGGAGGGTTGCCTGTAGATAAACAGATGTTTTGACCGGCCTGTAGCTCGCTACATCCATACCAGGCCCATGTCTCGTTGTTGTAAGACTCGATTTTGGCTTGGGCGAGACTGTATGTACTGGCTAGACTAGAACAGCTGTCTCCAGATTGCACACTGTACGTGTAGCATGTTCCATTCGAATATGCAGATGGCGAAAAGTCCGGCAGCGAACCAGAGGAACAGCATACGTACTCTCCCTGTACTAGTCCCGTACAGAGGTCTGATGCAGTATTATACTCGTAAAACTCGTCAGAGGTAATTCCGCAGTCTGAGATTAGCTTGTCACATGTATCCCCGGAAAACACTTCTTTGTATGTGCATGTATCATCTCTGCGTTGATGAGAGTGAGATACGCGATGACCGTGAGATACGCGATGACCGTGAGACCCATGAGAGCCACGCGAGACTCGCGAATGTGTTGAGTGTGTTCCGTTTGCCATGTTATGGGTACCCAAGAATGTCAGAGATGTACTGCCGGTTGTACTCTTGTCGAAGCCTGACAGACACTTTCCTCCATGCCAGCTTTGAACGTATTGTTGAACAGTTGGAATCTCGCCATTAAGGTCAACCGCCACACCAATTGTTTCGTTGGAACTAGATCCACAGTATTGAATGGCAGCAGTGCTGTAGGTGGTGTCGGAAAGGAAGCTTCGAAGTTTTTCAATGGCAAATTCAACATTGGAAACTTGTTGAACACTGCCACCCAAATAAACACCAGCGGTTACTTGATTGGAATATCCAAAAATTTCTGATTTCTGTGGGTTCCCAGTCAGATAGGTTTGCAAAGCATCCAGAAGTTCAGAATAATTGCTTCCTCCAGATTCGGAAGGACTAGAGCCCCAAGCACCAATCTGGTATGTAATTGCTTTCTTGGTTGAAACGGAGGAAGACGCAATTTTGACAGAAGATGACTTTTGTAATTTGTTGAGGTCACCAGAAGCGCAGACATGCAGAGTGGAATGCACCTGGGGGTCATTCAGGTCATTGAAAATGTTGAACTCAAGGAGCATAGTCTCATTGCATCGAGTGACTTGTGGGACATTTCGAAAAGTGAACCAATCGACTGGGTTGTAGCTAGCGCAGCTGTCTGGACAAAGTGCTGGTCGTCCAACTCTGGTCGCAACGGCGTGACCAGCAAAGTCACTGAGGGCCAGAATGGAGGCCGCAGCCCCGAGGAAGGAGTGCATCGAGTTTATGGTGATCTCAGGACACGAGGTAATAATTCAGGTACCATGCAGAAAGGAGATACAAAGAGAGGAAGTGAAGAAATAAATCAATAAAAGAGTGAAGAATCAGTTGCCATAGACATGAAGTCTGGCAATTTGATCTGAGTTGAAGTTGGAAATAATGCGGGCCCGTTACCTGGCTCTTATAGATGAATTATTGAATATGAACGCAGAAATCTCTGAGGAAAATTACTTCTCATCAACACTCTAATCCGACCATATCTGAACTAGCCATTCTCTACTGCAAGTTTTCTATCAATCCTCCAATGTGGCAAGTCCCAAGACGCCGTCGTTTCAAAGATCAAATCTACTATCTCGCTAGTGTTTATTTCTGTCGAGGTTGAAAATTTTCTCTACGCTAGAGCGTGCCCCGCTAGGATTCCCAATTCTGACTGTATTGAGTACTAACCACTAGCCGGACACATTTCAGCCTATGATATCTCGAAGTCCGTGTTGGAAGTTGAAAATTGAAATCTAGAGGCGAAGAGGATCGATCCACCTCGGCTACAGTGCGGGATTTATCTGGTATGTAGTTAGGAGTGCGCAGTTACTATACTACTAGTACGGAGAGTATGCATCGTACTAGTACTAGACCCCGAACTGAATATATTTCGCCTTGCTGGCTCTTATTGGTTTTCGTCCGTCCCTGAGTTTTCCCTTTCTCCATAAGCGGTGGATCTGACGCGCGGACGACGTTCATCCATCTTGGCCATGATTGGCGAAAGCTTAGCCAACTTGTCTAAAGATCCTAGGGGCAAATGAATTGCTCCAGGGGATGTGATTAGTGGGTCGGATGCTAAAGCCAAGCGGGGATTGTCCGAGCTTGGCCCCTATGGCCCCTATGGCCCCCGGGGCCTCGTTCCCACTTGTATTCAACTGACGTTCAGTATACGAATACTAAATCAAGATAGCTTGCCACTGTATGGAATTAGTTACCACAATGTCCACAAGCCAGTAATAAGCGAGATTGAGGGGGCAGTGGAGGATATCAGAAGTGGAAAAAAAAGTAAAAAAACACAAAATGAAGGATCGAGAACGGCGAAAGAGCCGATGCTTTCTCTCTCCTGCATAAAGAGGCTTTGCAGCTACATGAAAAGGTTATTATCGCAGCGAAGGCTGTCCTTCTCACTTGACGAAATCTATTTTCTCACACTCGTTCGCTGGTACCATGTTGGGGTCAAGGAAAATAGTTTCTTGGCTTTCCTTATGCTTGGGGGTCAGTAATGTTGCAGCTCTCACTGTCTCTGATTTGTTCAACCTCCCTTCCGTTCTCCCCAGCTATGGGGACTGTTCATCGTACACAACGAGGCTAAACAATTATACCGACGACTTCTCAACTCTTGCTACCCAAATGCTCTACGCAGTTCAATGGGCTCAGCAAACAGGGCAGACGCAGCAGACCATCGTGGCTCGAGAGCTCTTCACCGCTTGGTTTGGTATTAAATTTGACGGCACTGGAGCGCTCCTTGCAGAGAGTAATACTGCTTGGACTGTTGTCACAGGTAAGCAATGTTGGATTCTCAAAGAGAAAAGCTACTGATAGTATACAATTTCCAATTAGAGCACATCACTCGTCTCCAATCTCTCATTACGAATGGCGGAGCGTACCAGGCTTGGACATCTCCAGCAAATCTCTTCTGTGGTGATTTTGGAGAGCCATTTGGATGGGACACTCCAATGATTGATAGCGCTGGGCAGCTATTGAAATCCCGCGCGACAGTGAAAGATATGTATCACGACTGGGCGAGCTACATAGGAGGTTCACAGGTACCATACTACGTTCCATCGTTGAACAACTACTATCTTCTATCCCCCACGACTTTCAGTGCGGATGCTATGTGTTCCGATACCAGTGGTTTGCAAGGGCTTAACTCCTTTGGCAATTCTGCGGACCTGAAAAGTCTAACATTCGATGGCTTAAACTATCCCGTTTATCGAGAGGCACTCTCGGATTTTGTTTTGATTTGCCCCAATAGGTTGGGGGACAGCACGGCCGATGCCACCTCGGCTGGTAATATCCGGCTGAGTGATATTGGAATTCTTACCGTAGCCGAGGATTTGATCGACAGGCCACAACTATCGTTTGTCAAGCCTATGTGCACTGTGATGCTTCATGAAATCTTGCACATGGTGACCAGGTGGGATGTGACCACAGCCGGCACGATAAGCGGACAAAATATGATTGTTGATCATAGTTGTGAGTACTACCCTTTGAAATCCGCCCCCTCCCCCCCCCCCCCCCCTCCCTTTTCTCCTACGTTCGGCCTCGTACATAACAAATGCTGATTGTACATTCACATGCAGACGATATGACGGACTGTCTAAGTATGGCGCTCAGTCCCTGGATAGTCACCCAAGATGGAAGTACTGTGACAAAGTACGCTTATCAGAATACGGAAAATTATGTCCATTTTGCTTTGGCTTGGTGGTACTATAACTCCCAAACCGTGGGAACCGACACGCCGGCCACGTTTTATGCTGGTTTCCTTCAAAAGTGGGACCATTCTTAAATGGGGCGATACCGTTCCTTGAATCATATTTCTAATATGACTTCAACTGGGAATTGAGCAATGGGCTGTTAAATCACTTGTCAAATATTTGGGGAGGTATGGTACTATGTATCGTTCCGGCTGTTGTGTCGGCGGATATTTAATCACGAGTTGCAAATATTTTTACAGGCATTCCTAAAAAAGAAACACTGTGGATACGGAAAAGCACTAGGCATTTAGTTTTCAATCGCTTGCAAGATTAGTTTATTTTCTCTCGCTGATTAAGTGTGGGTGGGCCCTGAATAGTGGGGCGCTAGCGTTAGTGTATGTAGTGCGCCTGGCGACAAATAGCCTTGGAGGATCTCCAGTAATTATCACATGATCCACTCCGGACCACCAACGGTGCTCGGGTCAGCACCACAGAGTGACATGTAATGATTACTTAAGCGTTTTATCGGCATTCCATAGGATTTCCAATATTTTGAGCCGAAACCCCCCTTCTCTACCAGTCTCTTCCACATTCCAACCCCATCCCTAAACGTTCACGTGACTATTCATTCGTCTGGAATGCTGCATATCTTTGTGTGGCCTAAATAAACTGGTGAAAAATGTCTATCACAATCCTGCCTCCAGAGATATTGTCTCATATTTGTGAATATCTGGAGCCTCAGGAGTGGGGTGCGCTCAGAATCACTTGCCACCAAATACATAGCAGTACACTGGAAGCCTATGCAACGCGCTACTTCAAAAATTTGTCACTTCTTCTCACCCGTGAAAGCCTTGACAATCTGGAGGATATTGCAGAAAGCGAAACCTTACGAGGCTCGGTTCGAGAAATTCGGATCATCCCAAACTTGTTCGAGGGGTGGCCAGAAAAGAATAAGGAAAGTTTCAAAAGTCCGGGATTGTCGTTGCGGAAGCAGAGAAGGATGTTAAGGATGATGCGCGGTGAAAGGGAAGAATCAACATCAAACAATGCTGAGGCTGAGCTTGACGCTCTATTCACCTCTTATCAAGCTACACTAGAAGAACATCGTGCTATTCTCGACTCAGAACTTGCTCCGGTTCTTGAAAAATGCCTGCCGCGCCTCGAAAACGCCACCACAGTCGGCTTACGGTGTTACCCCATTGAATTCCTCTTGGAAGCAAACTATCGTTCATTTCGCTGCCTTGGCTTACGTGAACTGAAGAACCAGTTCAACAACGATGATATGAGTGTTCATTTAACATTCACAAGTTTCAAGCGGAATATGTTATCCATACCTCTGGGCTTAGCATTTTCACAGGTGGTCAAGGCTATAATCAAATCTAGCCACAAGGCCCGAGCCCTCCACACGTGCGGCAATTTAGCATGTGGCATGAAGTTAGGGTCTGTAAACCTGTCAGTGTCACAGTATCAATTACTGCTACCGCTCTTGACCGACCTAACGACTCTACATATGTGCATTCGTGTTAAAGATAACGAAAACGACACAGCATTCGATGAAGATGCCTTCAAATGTCTTCTCAGTATGCTGGTCACAGTCGCACCCAAATTGAAAATTCTGACCTTCGCTCAATGGAGTCCCTTGGAAGAATTGTCTCCTCTCTATTTTCAGGATCTCTCCCAGAACATCCGGTTTTCCCAGCTAGAAGAACTTCATCTTCATTCCATTGAGCTGACAGTGGGGAATCTCAAGCGCTTTCTTCGGACAGCAGCGCCAACCTTGAGGCGACTGAGTATGAAGAACGTCAGCTTGACAGATGCGATAATCGGAGCACGAGATCCAGGCCCCCTCACAGAAGAGAGGAGTAGTTGGGGTTCTTCGCTGTCGCTCGAAGTCATCAATAAGATCCAGGAACTTTGGAAGCGAAGCTTCGAGTTGTTGGCAGATAGCCCCAAGCTGCAGTTTGTCCAATTGTCTAGTCTTGGTTACCGTGGAAGAGAGATCATTTTGCAAGATGACCTATATATGGAACGCGGGCAGCCGGATGCACAGCCGTATTCAAATGCGCGGCGTTCGATCAACTGGCCAGAGATCTATTCCGATCCTACCAGGGGTCAGTCATCCTTGATAGATTTCTGTTTCGATGCTGAGAGAGCGAATATATCACTCAAAAGATGGATCATGCAGCTGCAGATGGAGATGTGCAATCCGGGCCTTGCAAATACCCAACTTCCGGGGACCAGCGGCTTGAATTTCAACCAAGACGGTGTTGCTAGGTCTATTACAAACCACCAGGGGGAAGAGCCAGACCCTAGAAGACTCGCAGAAATGGGGGCTTTAGTCGTCTAAAACTTTGCATATGCAACAATATCATGAAGCATAACAAGAGGACAATAGATTCCTCTCTATTATTCATGTAGATGTATGAGGCATGTTGTCCAGATGTCCTAATATTTACGATGAGGATCCACTTAGCTGTATCCACTACTTCATTGAATGGCGGGTCACCGTCAACAACAAGGCCGTGGTGAAGGATAAAGAAGAAGACCTAGCCTTGGATCTAAGTGCCTACTGGCAGCGGTTTTTGGAGAAGAAGATACTGAATGTCCTTGGACAGAAAATCTCCCGCGGTAAAAGGGTCAGGTCTGTTTTGGTTGTGTCAGTCAACGACCGTTCTCGGCGTGATCTGACCAAGCATTTCAACAAGACGGACATTTTTTGACTGCCATCGAGAAAAAACAGCTCCGGATGTAGTCGAGTTATTTTCTCGTGGCAAGAGACTCGCTCAAATTGTCTCTTTCAACTACGTAGAAGACTGCACTTGTTTATCCGCCAGTTAGCATAGAGAGAAGAGAGGTAAATCTTCAGTCACAAAGAGAATGATTAATGACCGAGATTCCCAGCTAGAAGCTGAAATAACACCTGAGGTGAGCACCCAATTGTCACGAAGAATTCAGGATCAATGATCCTGAACCGATTCTGCCGTGTTCCACCGCCTTTCGTAGTTCGTGTTTTACATTGTTTGATTATGAAATACAACTTGGTGCTGGCCAATCAGGTGATGTCAATAACTCTGGTTTCCATTACCCCTAATTCTGGCAATTTATATATAGGTGTAATTTACTTGCTGAATAATGAACAAACACGACAAACAAGTGGGCCTGCTTTCTCAGGCTTCCGACACACCCCCTCATCTTGCGCAGATTGGGCAAGATGACCCTTGAAACGCCCATTTCTGTAATAGACACAGAAACAGCCTCTGTTTCCCTTCTGGGCCTAGGTGATCAGGTGACCTACATCAGCCATTCTAAGCAAGCGAATGAAATTTTCATGCTTCTGGCGAGTCAGGCACTTGGTGAGCCCGTCAGCGACCATCTGTGCCGTTGGCACCCATCTGACGGTGATCCTTCCTGCTTGCGCTTCCTGCCTAACCCAGTGATAGTGAATATCGACATGTCGAAGCTTCGTATCGAACGCCGCATCCTCCTTGTTAATGAGTGCAACCGTGCGCTCATTGTCGCAGTCGATGGTGATGGGGTGGGATAACTTAAGGCCAACATTCTGCAGCAGTCTTCTCCACCATTGGAGATGCTTGCCAGCCTCAGAAAGTCCCAGCAGCTCGGCCTCGGTAGTAGATGTCGTTACCGTTGGCTGCTTGCTGGCTTTCCAGTCTACTGGCCCGCCGAACACTTGGCAGATATATCCAGCAGAACTCTTCCGATCCTCATGATCCCCATACGACGCGTCACTTGCTATCTGGATCGACTCCATATCTTCGATTCCTGCGGCATATTCAATGGCAAGAAACCGGGTGGAGTAAAGGTAGCAGATCACCCTATCGACAGCTTGCTGGTGCTGTGGTCCTGGGTTCATTAGGAATTGCGCGAGCTTAGCAGTAGCCTTTGCTGCGTCAACCCTAGTAATGGTCGTTGCATAACCTGCTGAGCCCACTTTCTGCTGATACAGATGTGTTTCTCTTGGTGTAGCAACGCCCTCGTACTTGCGTAGTTCTTCCACCGGTAAGGGTGTAAGAACAGGCGCTCGCTCTGTCAAGTTATATCTCGCTGCAATGCTTGCGATGTAACTATCTTGACAAAGCCACAACTTCTTCTGTGCACGGTCCCTGATGATCCGGATATTAAGAAACCACTCTGCTTCTCCGTGATCAGTCAGTTCCCAGTGCTCTTCAAGTGATTTTTCTAATTGTTTTGCTCTTGCTCTCGCTGTGCGATGGCAAGCAATAAGTATGTCGTCGACATAGAAGAATACAACGATTCCGGTGCCAACGAACACACATGGGTCCTCCGGCACTTGCTGGAGACCTAACTTTCGCAGTACACTTGCTGCTTCTTGTTGCCATAAGCGTGGCGAAATTCGTAGACCGTATAGAGCTCGCTGTAGTTTCCATGACTTGCCCGGTATCCCAAAACCTTCTGGCATCTGTGTGTATGTCTCCTTATCCAAACGCGAGTTCAGTAATGCGGTAACAGCGTCGCGCTGCCTAACGTCGAGATCGTATGCGGCGATGAGGGAGAAGATCATGCGTGCTGTCCTTGCAGCAAGTGTCGCTGCTCGCTTCTCTTCTTGGGTGATGGTTTCTAAGTCGCCGCGGACGCAGATGCGTGCTTTTAACTTGATTAAGTGGCCATCCTGGTCAAATTTGTATGCATAAATCCATAAGAGAGGAAGCACTTGCTTGCTGATGTCTTTTGGCCGGTCTATCACCTCATACGTTGCCTTTGAGCGCAAGTTGTCTAGCTCTCGTTTCATCGCTGCGATAAAACCTTCAGAGAACTGGTGGTTTATGGCCTCTTTGTAGTTTCTTGGTATAGGAGGGAGGTCATCGCGGTGTCGTCGATGTTCTGGCTTCTCGGCATACAGCCCTGCTGCGAAGGCATGTAGCATTGCTGGTGGCTCTTGCTGTATCGTAGAGTAAGCAGCATAGTCATTGTCTTGCCTTGCTCGCCTGGTTCTTTTGCCGCTCATGATATTGGTAGTATCAACGTCACCAAAGATCTCTTGTGTGGGCTGCAGTAGCTCGCTTTGCAGCTGTTGTGCGACTTCATCGTCACTTGCTCCATCATCCTGCGACGTTTCCACGGTTTCAGGGGTCTGATCCCCTACTTGCTGCGTTTCCTGCTGCGTCTCCACCCCCTGATCTGACCCAAAAACCTCGTTTGGTGGTGTTGGTGGGAGTGGCACATCTTCTGGGAAAGCACCTGGGATTTCTGTGGGACTTGCTGATGCAATCCGCCTTTCTGGCGTCGGCGATGGGGTTCTTGCCATATCTTTATGGCGTTCCATTTGTTGTGGTGGGGTTTCTACCTGCTGAGGAGTATTGGTTTCATCCTCCTGCGGTTTGCTACGTGGTAGCTCGACTTGCTGGTGTTGGTCTTGGTGAGAATCTGCGGTTTGAGCAGCTTGCTGATGGTTTTCAGTTGTTGTATGCTGCTCCCGATGCGTTTCCTCTGGCTCCTGATGCTCCTCCTGACTTCTTGCTGTCGATATCCGCTGGTAAAGCTTGAGGGTTTCATCTGCATCAAGCACATATGGTTCCTGGATAATTGGCATTGGCAATTGTTGATATCGCTCGAACCTAGGTGTGTACTTGCGGCTCTCGTCAAACACCGCATCTCTAACAACCTGCACTCTTCCAGTATATGGGAACCAGATTTTCCAGATATTTGATGCCACGAAGCCTACTAGAAAGCCAATCTCGGCTCTCGGTGCCATCTTATCAGATTGCACTTGCTTCTGTATCCGACAGTAAGTCAAACTGCCATACAATTTAACGTTTGCTAGGTTGATTCTCGGCATCTCGTTGCCCGCGAATTCGCGTCGAACCTCTTCCCACGGCACAATCCAGCGTTTCTCATCGTTCACGAAGGTGGGTGTACGGTTCAGCAACCATACTGCAGCACTTGCTGCCTCTGGCCAGAGACCTTTGGGCAACTGGCCCTCGACGATGAGCATACGCATACGTGTGATGATTGTTCCACCTGCACGCTCGCTGTATCCATTCATCTCTGGATGTCCCGGGGGAGAGTGATGGATAATGATGCCCTCTTTGGAGATGGATCGTTCGGCGGTGCTTCCTGCCGAAGTCTCGTTGTCATACATGAACACCTTAATTGGCAAGTTCCACCAATTCTTAGCAAGTGCTATAAACTTGTCGATAGCAAGCTGACACTCTGGCTTTAGTTCATATGTCATGATCCAGTGAAATCGCACTCCCTCGATATAGAAGTGTGACATCCATCTATGTCTGTTTTCTGCTGGCTGGATCTGTATTAGGTCGAAATGAATTCTTCCAAATCTTCCAAACGTGCGTCCAATTGGTCGGCGAGAGATTTGTCGAGGTGCTCTTGCTAGGTTGCAGACTCGGCAAGGTGAGTTGACTTCTTCATCCTTGTTATCCTCTGTGATCTCGATGCCATCTACCATTTGCTTAGCTTGCTTAATCGCATCTGTGTTGATATGCGCTAGACGGCGATGCCATAGTTCCATAGATCCTTTCGCTTTCTGTGGTCTCTCTGACTTTCTGGTTATTGCATTGACACTGTTGTGGCTTGGCAAGTCGAATACCCACAGATCTAGGTCCACTAGCTGCAATTTCGCGATTTGCAGGTTGTTTGGGTCGACGATGGTATCTGTATCTTGACACTATTTCACACCAAGTCGCCTCATTTTTGCATATGAAACTAGGTTGGTATGGCACCCTGGGACATACAAGGCGTTGGTAAGACGTATGATTCGTTGCTTGCCGGTTTGTGGATCTCTTGCAGCAAGTCTTGCTATTCCAATCCCCTCACCCTTGGTGATTGAGTTGCCAGTTGCTAACTCTGTTTGGTATGGGGTTATAGTTTCGAACCAGCCCTTGTTGTTACACACATGCACACTTGATCCACAGTCAAGGATCCATCGGTCTTTAAGATCAGGCATTTGCTTAATTCTCTTATCGACTGGCTTGACATGGTAGATAGGAGTTCTTTCTGCTGGTTTGCCAGCATGGACTTGCTGCACCCGGTTGCTCTCTACTGAGGGCACTTGTATGGTTGCAAGTGTTACTATTGGTGGATGAGCGCTAACGTCAGGCTGTACCGTTGTGAAATCCGCCGTTTCCTTAGGCGTTGAACGTTCTTTGTCCTTCCTTACTTCCTCGTTAATCCACTTACGCCATTCTGGCTCTGCGGTAAGAAGCTTCTCAATTCTTTTCTTCGTGGCTTCCCTGATAGTGAAGTCCGAAGGTATCAGATCAGGGCGTATGTAGTAGCAAGTTGCTACTCTATGACGTGGGTGTGTGTTTCCACATGGGCAGGACCGTTCGTGAAACGGGGTCTCTGCAGTCTGCTTTGGCTTCTTAGACTTTGCAGTAGAGATTGTTGCCACTTGCTGTGAAGCTTCCTCATGCCCTTGCCAGGTTGAGAAGGAGGCCTTTGGTGCTGACAGTGATGGTTTAGCACCTGTTTCGCGGTAGATACTGCGAAAGGACTCGATAAGCTGATTGATATCACGCTTCTCTTCATTAAGGATGACAGCAGTGTATTCCGCTTGCCACCACATTGGCAGGACTTCCTTCACAGCCTTGATGAAGTAACGTACTGCATCTTCATCATCAACCCTGATGCCGACGCTAATGACTTCTTGCCGCAGTGTGTCCCACTTGTCGATCCATTGGTCGACATCCTTCCCGGGTTTCTGCGATGCAAGTTGCTCCCACTT